GGCTCATGAAGGAGCTATATATTGTCTTCACGATCTCCTTTCAGCATGAAACACACGTACACATATCATGGAGTAATTCGTGCATACTAAATGAATGATGAAGAAGAATTTGACACAAACGGCACTGATGTTAAAGTTGTTCTAATAGATTAGAATAGAAAAAAAACTGAGAACTAAATAAAATTTGGCTTACTTTCGTACGTTATGTTTTATTATTGTACTTGGTATAGTAAGAAGAATTTGAAAGCAATCAGTAAAATAATTCGTATGCTAAACAACAATATATGTATATATATTGTGAACTTTAATTTGTGAACTAATGTTCTTTTTCATGATTTGATCGTTCTTTACATATTAATTTGTTTGAAAAAAAACTATAAGAGTTGGAAAATTTGAAAACCATATTAAACGTTGAATGAAAGTTCAAGTAATTCACAAACAATTTAAGTGTTCTCATATAACACATAGAATATTGATACACGCTTAAAAAAATTCTCCATATGATTATGGATTTCTCCATATGATTTTAGTAACTAAAACCTTTCTAAAGTTGGGGTTTTAGTAAAACCAGTATGGACTACTCTTGCCAGTTTGTTAAAATAATTTGAAGAAGGTTTTTCTTTTAATCTATATATAACAACAATATATGTATATTGTGAACTTTAATTTGTGAACTAGTGTGCTTTTCGATGATTTGATCGTTATTTACGTATTAGTTTGTTTGAAAGAAAAAGCTATAAGAGTTAAAAAAGAAGAAGTGAAAACTATATTAAACGCTGAATATAATTCACAAACAATTTAAGTGTTCTCATATAACACATAAAATATTGATACACGACTTAAAATAATTCAAACAGGAAAAGTAGTTCTCAAAAGTTAAGCGAATTGGTAAAGTGAAAAAAGACTTAAGGTGTTTATTTTTAATAAAGAAATTAAACTGTAATTATTTTTAATTGAAAAACGTGTTGTGGTTGAACAATGCAAAAAATGGAATGCATAAGAACTTTGATTTGAAGTTTGCCGTAAGTAGTAATGAATTAATTTATAAAAGAGGGGTTAAGCCACGAAGTTTACATTCAAAACATTCTCAAGAAAAAAAAAGAATTCTATAAAGAAAGAAAAGAAAAAAGAAAAAGAAACTAGAATGAAGAGGACTTTGTTGGATATTCTCAAAAAATTGTTCCTACGAAAAGGTGACTTTAAAAGGCTTGGGACTGAATTTGGGAAAAGCGAAGCACAAAACGCTGTTAAAAAAAATGGTAGAATGTTTAAATATTGTTTAATAATCTCAAATTTTTCATTAGATGATTAATATTATTTGTTTAATTCTTTTTTAAAAAATTATTTTTATTGAAGTACTCAACAACCCGAATGAAGATTCTGAAAAAAAGGATGACAAGAAAGAAGGGAATGATGCATCGACTAGTACATCTAAATAGTTTATACGATATAGTTAATTTAAGTTGATATTATATGTAAGAAATAAAAGATTAATTATAGTTGTGTGTTTATTTTTATTTGTCGAAAATAAAAAAAATAAAATTGGGCACGTTTCTTTAAAGTGTGTGAACATATATACTTGTAGCCCAAAATACTAAAACTGGGTCACTTTCTTCAAAGAAAAACAGAACTTGGCCGCATTGTTTTGAAAAACAAAAACAATTGGGCCAAATTAAAACCCAACATATATATATTTATACACACATCGACTAATCTTTACACTACCAAGCTTTTTTGTTCTGTTTAAAATCGGATAGACTCTGTCAATTAATTTTCTGATAAATGTCAAAATTTGATTCTGATCGATGTAAAAGAAAACCCTAGCCCTCTTTTGGGGGTTTACGATCACTGTGAAGTCGATTTCAATAATTGAAATAACCTAATCAACACTAAATTTTGATTTTTGGTTTGGATTTGATATGTTTGTATATTTTGATTATATCATAGTCAATCGTTGGTTTCTTGGTATCAGGTTTTTTAAGGATGATTGGGAAGTTAATGGAGAGTATCTATCAGGTTCTAGGTATAAACTAGTATGTCCATTTTTTTCGATTAATAAGTGCTAACATGTTACGGTAGTGTCTGGATCTATATGTGCTGTAAATGGCAGATGGGGAAGAAAACTTTTCTCATATCAGTTTTGATGTTTTCAGATTCATATCTCTAAAACTAATATGTTACGGTAATGTAATGATTTAGTCTCACTATGTGTTCGAGACAGATTTAGTGTCTGGATCTATGTGCTTTGAATGGCAGATGGGAAAGAAAAACTTTTTCCAGATTCATATCTCGTGGTGTTAGGAATCTATAAGCTCTCTGAGAATAATTCTTTGATTTCATATTGATGTAATTTATCTGGATTCAGAAAAACTTTTTTTTTTTTTTTTTTTTTGTTCGTCTGGATTTTATCAACCTGGATCACTTAGTAGCCATAGAATCTGCTTTTGATTTAATTTTAATTATTATGTGTCTTTTATTAAGAGAACAAACGGAGGGATTGTTCTCTGATTTTGTCTCTACTCCTATACTAACTCTCATACTATGTTGTTTCATGGTTCATCTTCGATCATCATCATCATCATCATCACGATTTCAAGATAACCGTCAGATGTCTATGATTGTGCTGTATGTTCCATTGTTATCGCTATCTATATTTCATTTTTCAGAAACTATATTGAAACAAATCCTTGTGTATATATCGAAAAGGGATACAGACCTTAAACACTCGAACGTCAAACATATCATATTAATTCTGAAGTAGCTACCATTATTCGCTGATAGAAAGGTCGTTTAAGATGAAGGTGTGTTGCTCTAACTAAAGATTAAATTTTATTTTTTTAGAGAGATCATGAATGCCTTCATGATGATTAGATTTTTGAACTCCTCTAAGATTATTCAGATTCAAAGGCTCATGATCTCAAAAATAAATTAGATCAAAAAGTTTCCTAGAAGCTTATTTCGTAGATGAGACAAAAAGTTTCTTATTAGTCCGAAAAATCGATCAAAAAGTTTCCATATTAAGTATTGGAGTATCAAAAATTCGTCAAATTATGAGTCAGCTTATACTTTTGACCACAGTCATTAAAACCCATTACCCTTGACACTCTAACTGCTTATGTATGTATTTTTATAAACTGTCTACGTAGCATTTAAAATCCCACCAACTTATTTATTCTCTATTGTAAATAACTTAATAGTTTTTGTTTTTTCCTTTTTGATAAATAATATAAAAAAAAAAAAGGTAAAGCTTACTTGAGAGAGGGGACTGGGGAGCCACTACATAACCAACTCGGCTAACACGTTTTCTTAGCCAAGATTTTTTTGTTCAATAACTTTAAAATTTCACCCAAAAAAAACAAATTCCTGCATGGGATTACTTACAGCTGAATCCATTTTTACTAAAATCAAAACCGCAAGTTACTAAAATATGTTGATGTCTGTTTTTATATTTATACCCACTTTAACATGTATTATCATTTTGTGTAAGAACCAGAAACTTAGTTTTAGACTATACATGAATTAACTCTAAACCCCAAAATTATTTATGTACACAAAATAATACGGCCAACAAGCATATACATGACACTGCCCGACAAGGAAATTATATGTACTCAATCTTTAATATATGTCACATTAAAAACTAACAAAATATGTTATATATTTTGAAAACGATATCAAATATAACCCAAAAAAAAAGTAATGAGAAAATACTTCAAAAAGTATAGATAAATATAATCATCTGAAAAGTAAACATATAACAAATTAAAGAATAAGATTAAAACTATATAACTATGATTTATAAAAAAAGAAACAAATAAACATTGAAAGTACTATATATATACTTTTCTAAATAAATATTATTTGTTATAAGAAATATAAAAGTGTATATCTAATATAAGTTAAAGACCCTAACAACGCAACATGTGTAATACAGTAAAACCTCTATAAATTAATAATGTTGGGACTACAAAATTTTATTAATTTAGAGAGATATTAATTTATAGATAAATTAATAATTATTAATTTATAGAGAGATTTTACTAATTTTATAATTTCTTAAAAAATTTCTTTCTAAAAATAATTTTTTTCTATAGAAGCAATATCTTTTAAAAACTAATTACAAGTAGAGAAGCAATTATAAAGTTTAAATTTTTAGATTCATATTTCATTAAATTTTTACATATAATATTATAAATATATATCATAGTAATTCATATATGACATATATAAATTTATATCATATATATATATTAAGTTAAATATATATATATATATACATATATTATATATATATATATTGATAAGTTTATACAATTATTAATTTATGATATAGATGGGACCATATCTTTATATGGGATTTTCAAAAAAATTATTATCTTATTAATTTATCGATTTATGTCATATTTTACACTGGTCCCGAGTCGGGACCGGAAAGATTTATTAATTTAGAGAGGTTATTAATTTATAGAGGTTTTACTGTAGTTATAATTCGTAAAATTTTGACATGTATTAGAATATACTTTGTTAGTGACATATATGTCATTTTATATTTTCACACTCACATTCAATCATTATATTTTAGAAATAATGGTCAAGACTTATATTTCAGATGATTATCACAAATAAATCAACAGAAAGAAAATGAAGAAAAAAAAACACAAAAGGTGACACATCCCATTTCTGAAGATTTAAAGTGTAACATTAAAAAGAAACTATATTTGATTTTAGAAAAAAATATTGACAATAATAATAAACAAATACATTAAAATAACATATTTCTTTCTAATAAATATGAATAGCTATGGGAATTATGAATTTATTTTTACATGTGTCATAAGTTATTTATACAAACACATAATCAAAATCTTAGGATTTCAAAATTACGTCACATGTCTCAAGAAAATATATTAACTTTATAATAATATATATAAGACATAGAGCCATATAGTTGATGGGTATATAAACAATAGGGTTTAATACTTGCAGTTAATTTGAAAACAATGTCTCTGCTTTTCGGCCTAGTTGCAAAACACTTTGTAAGTTTAACTATTCGCTATCAACAAACCCAAATAAAGTGTTTTGCCAACTTTCTCTCTGTATCCTTACTTTATTTCTCTCTGTTTTTAAAATTTATGTGGATCCGTCCGCAATCAATCACAGGTTGAAGAAGGTGACAAGGCCCGTTTTTGCTCATACCCACGACAAACCCCGTACATGTTGGTCAACTACAGTTTTGATGAAGACAAATATTTAAATATATCTACAAGTTACTGTTTATTTAATCCAAGGAATGAAAAAATCATCAAGATCATTGATAAAAATTTTCTAAAAAGTCTACCGTTGTCCGAAGGATTCATCTTCCTTGGAACCTCACGTGGCTGGGCAGTTTTTAAGTGTATGCATGATTCAATTATATTTCTCAGCGACGTGTTTAATCCTTGGTCGTCAGAATCATCCACTAGAACCATTGTGCTGCCTCCATTGGTATTTAATGGCATGAATGCCAAAGCTTCATTGTCCACTCCTTTTCCCGACCAGGACAATGATTATATAGTGAGTGTCACCTTCTTTGGATCTAAACTTTATTACTGTATGCCTACTCGAGATTCAGAGTGGACTAGTATTAACATTCCATTTTCTTGCGATTTCGACTCACAAGTCGTTTATTCTCGGAAAGACCAAATGTTTTACCTCCTCACTACTGGATGTGCCTATATAGCTGCCTTGGATCTCAAAAACAATAAGGACCCTACCTTCCTTCAAATACAGTTTCAGAACTTCCCTTTGATACCACAACACGAGTGGGAGATATTGGCTTCATGTTCACGAAGTGACTATATTGCTGAGTCGTCTTCTGGCGAACGTTTCATTGTTCAATGGTAAGCCCACAAATAATAGAGCCACACAACTAGCTAGGGTTCTTTAGCTAGTAACAATTGTGAATAGTATCTCTTATATGAAAGTTAGATAATACATTGAGTTGGAAACCCATGAAACTTAACTGAAAATATGTTTTTTTTTCCTAAATGGTTGGAAAAACTTTATTTACTCTCTATAGGTATTTAACGTATGTGGAGTCATGGGGCAATGGGAACATCACTAGAGTAGTTAGAAAAACCAACCGATTCATGGTGTTCAGGGAAGAAGAAGAGCATAAACTCCAAAGAAGTAAAATGATCGCTAACTACACAGAAAATATTGGAGATCTTTGCATTTTCATTGGGGAGAATGATACATTTTGTTTAGAGGCAAGCAAGTATCCGGGACTCAGACCAAACTCTATATATTATGTTGGTCATGGCTTTGGTGTTTACGATATCAGTAAGAAAAGAGTCCGTGAATATGACGGAAGTGATTTTCCTACGATGTGCAACCAATTGTTTTTTCTGTCACCGCCTCTATATTAGCTACATTGTAGTTTTCATGGGTAAAAACACTGCACCCCGACCCGCGCCTGAATTGAACCTGCCCACGAAAAAACCTCAAGCTCGAGTTGTGTAATCCGAAAAAACTGTAGGATTCCGGATCAGCTCGTGGGTACCCAAATTTGGCTCTTTCAAATAACTTTTTTTTTTGTTTTCATCTATTTTTTTTTAATTATCAAAAAATTTATTCATCTAAATCTTGTTATATATTCATCTACATTTTATTTGTATTTTATAAAATTAAATATAATCAAATACCTTTATTTAAATGTTCGTCAATCGTTCTTCGGACTTAACAAAGGAATCCAAATTATCATCGACTTCTTTTATAGCAAAGTATGAGTCAATATCTACAAATCCTGTACTCGGGTTTACTATCCAAAACCGTAAAAATACGCTTTGAACCTTTGGCATAACCGGCACTGATGTCAAATTGTTCTAAGAGATTATAGTAAAAAAAAAAAAAAAGGTTATAAGTATAAAATAATTCATTTGAAATACACATTCACCTCTCGATCTAACAATAAACTTTTATACGATGAATAATCATTTCAAGTTATATGAACCATATAGAAAATCTTATGGAACAAAAGCCTAATTTCAATTCCAGTCAGCATAATATATCTATAACAATAATTAACATAGATCAGTCAGATGGTTGTTTAAATATGTTGTTTAATTGCCTGATGGTTCAAGTAATGTGCTTTTAATGCCCTATTCAATTTTCCTCGAATAAAAACTTCAGTTTTAGCATAATAGCACACATAAACTAACATTTCGATCCATTTTCGATGCGATAACCAACACTTTCTCGTCCCTTCTCAAAACGAATATAGACATTACAATGTGTATAATCTTACTTGGCTGGCTAGCCAGACATAACACAGATATATGAACATTAATCAATAATTAAGTAACGTTAATTAATATTTCTTGTCCCTTCACGAAAGAAACCAAGTTATATTCTGGTTGGTTTCTCCTGTGATAAAGTATCAGCCAATACCTACAAAACCAAAAAAAAAAAACGCTTTGGCGCTATAAACCATGAAAATTTTCATTTTCTAGTAAATACCAAAATTAGTTTATTATTTATTTGTTTATATATATAGTTTAGATCTACTTGTTAGTATAAATCATGTCATTTTCATTAGTCGCAACATGATACAGTAAGAAACTTAGAAAGCGAACAAAGTTGAGCATCTATATGGATTCTTTGTATCTTTGGTATTTACCGCTTCTAAGCACTTTTTAATATTTTTATTTTGATTTTTATCTTCTCTTGTGTAATTTTAGTGGTATTGATGAGGGTTTCTTTTCATAAATTTTTATGTTCAGGTCTAAATAGGGTTATTAAAAAAACGACTATATACTTATTTCTTCGTATATACGCTCCCGGTCCGTACGTTCTCAAAAGGCACAACTTGAAATTCACGAATCTACTTAATTATATATAGGCCTGGGTTTTCGGTTATCCGTTCGGTTATCGGTTGGGTCCATTCGGTTTTCGGTTCTTTTGGTTCTAAAATTTAGTATCCATTCGGATATTTTGAAATTTCGGTTCGGTTTCGGTTTGGTTCCAGTTCTTTCGGTTTTAAAATTTAGTATCCATTTGGTTATTTTGCTTAGAATATTTTCGGATATTTCGGTTATTTTTGAGTATTTTCGAATATTTTTAGATATTTTTTTGTTATTTTTGAGTATTTTTACTATTTTTTTATAGATTTTTCAAGTATTTTTGATTATTTGGTCTATAAATAACTAATTATTTCGAAAATATAATTGTATTTCGGGTATTTCGGTTACCCGAAATATTTCGGTTCGGTACCGATTCGGTTACGGTTATTTCGGTTATCAAATTTAGTATCCATTCGGTTATTTTCAAATTTTCGGTTCGGTTCGGTTCGGTTTTTTTTGCTTCGGTTTCGGTTCGGTACATTCGGTTCCGTTTAAAAGCCCAGCCTAATTATATATGTTGAAAGATGCATGCATGCACGAATTAGCTAGGGCTTTTAACGAGTGACGAGGCTCATGAATGAGCGCATATTGTCTTCACGTTCTCCTTTCAGCAAGAAACACACGTACACAAGTCATGGAGTAATTCGTGTATACTAAATGAATGATGAAGAAGAATTTGACACAAACGGCACTGATGTTGAAGTTGTTCTAATAGATTAAAAAAGAAAAAAAAAACTGAGAACTTAATAAAATTTGGTTTACTTTCGTACGTTATGTTTATTATTGTACTTGGTATAGTAAGAAGAATTTGAAAGCAAGAAGTAAAATATTCGTGTGCTAAACAACAAAATATGTATACTGAGAACTTTAATTTGTGAACTAGTGTGCTTCTTGATGATTTGATCGTTATTTACGTATTAGTTTGTTTGAAAGAAAAAGCAATAATAAAGAGTTGGAAAAATTGAAAACCATATTAAAGGCTGAATGAAAATTCAAGTAATTCACAAACAATTTAAATGTTCTCATATAACACATAGAATATTGATACACGCTTAAAAAAATTCAAACAGGAAAAGTGGTTCTCAAAAATTAAGGGAATTGGTAAAGTGAAGAAAGACCTAAGGTGTAATTATTATTATTTATTTATAATAAAGAACTTAAGCTGTAATTATTTTTTAATTGAAAAACGTGTTGTGGTTGAACAATGCAAAAAATGGAATGCATAAGAACTTTGATTTGAAGTTTGCCGTAAGTAGTAATGAATTAATTTATAAAAGAGGGGTTAAGCCACTAAGTTTACATTCAAAACATTCTCAAGAAAAAAAAAGAATTCTGTAAAGAAAGAAAAGAAAAAAGAAAAAGAAACTAGAATGAAGAGGGCTTTGTTGGATATTCTCAAAAAATTGTTCCTAAGAAAAGGTGAAGCTAAAAGGCTTGGGACTGATCTTGCGACAAACTTGGGACAAAAATATGCTGAAAAAAATGGTAGAAAGTTTAAATATTGTTTTATAATCTCAAACTTTTCATTAGATGATTAATATTTATTTGTTTAATCCCTTTTTTTTTTTGAAGTACTCAAACCGCCGAAAGAAGATTCTGATAAAAAGGATGACAACAAAGATGCATCGACAAGTACATCTAAATAGTTTATACGTTATAGTTAATTTAGGTTGATAATATATGTAAGAAATAAAAGATTAATTATAGTTGTGTGTTTATTTTTTTTATTTGTCGAAAATAAAAATAAAATTGGGAACGTTTCTTTAAAGTGTGTGAACATATATACTTGTAGTCCAAAAAAACTAAAACTGGGCCACTTTCTTCAAAGAAAAACACAACTTGGCCACATTATTTTGAAAAACAAAAACAATTGGGCCAAATTAAAACCCAACATATTTTTTTTTTGGTAAGTAAAACCCAACATATTTATACACATCTATTACTTGTATCGAACATACATACATACAAAAAAAAAAAAAAACGTCGTCTTCTTTGGAGAATTCTATTTCATTATTATTTGGAGATTTTTTTTTTTCTAAATTTTAGAAGTTAGCATACACGTTTTATGTAGTAACAGAGAGATTGGCTAGCTGAGTAATTTGAGTAGAATATTCTAGAACATTAATGTAAAATAGAAAGAGTGGCTAATTTTAGTAATTTACAGCCATTACACAAATAGACCAAAGAGAGCATGATTAGTTCAAACCGCCATTGAAATAATCTTTTTAATTGATAGGCTGGAATTTGGATAGTTAAGTCTATTTCTTATTTGATTTTTGTCTTCCTTTAGTTTTATTGGAAATTTTGTTATAAAAATTTTTGCCGAGAAACGAAGCTTCGAGATTATTTCCTAGAGACAACTCTAAATAGAAAGAGTGTAACTTCTAAAGTAAGATTATTGCCTCAATTAACCAAAGACTTAAGAGAGTAGTAGTAAAATTCAACAAACAAAGTGGTTCTCAAAAAAAAGATCGTCGCCTTCCTTAGAGAATTCTATTTCATTATTTTCAGAAGGAAAAAAAAAAAATGATGTCGATCGTGGGTTACGAATTTCGTCCCACCGACGAGGAACTCGTAGGATTCTACCTACGAAACAAACTGTTGGGAAATTCATGCCTCATAGAAGCTATAGGGGAATTAAACATTTACCAATTCGACCCCTGGGAGCTACCTTGTAAGTGTAGAGACTATCGATCATTAAATTGTAATGTGTTAACGATCAGATTTCTAATTGATTGGTCTCTCTCTTTTTTATTGCAAGCCCAATCGATGATGCGATCCAACGATACGGTTTGGTTTTTCTTCTCCGGCCGAGAAATCACATTCGCCATAAGAAATCGGCAGAGCAGGACTACGGCTTCCGGTTACTGGAAGATCACCGGTCAACCATCCGTAATCAAAGAGCGATCTATCTTTCAACGCGTCATCGGACAGAAGAAGACTTTGGTTTTCCACAAAGGGAAAAGCCCAAACGGTGAGAGAACTCATTGGATTATGCACGAGTATTCCGATTTGTCGTTGCCGGAGAGTCAGGTTATTAAAATCCTCTGTCTTTTTAGTTTCTTTTTATGTGTTCTGCTCTGTTGAAAAGACTTTCTTTTAGTTATAATTTTCAATCTCACTTTACTCTGTTGACTTTAACTCTGTTGATTCTCTGATTGTAATAAAATAATCAATGTTGATTTACCAAATAAACAATTTTATGTCCTCTTTTGAAACAACTAGGCTTAGGTGTTCGGGTATTCGGGTCATGTTTTTCGAGTTCGAATATTTTGGATTTAGAAATTTAGAACCCGTTCGAATATTTTATAACTTTGGGTTCAGGTTGGGTTAGGATATGGTATTTCGGGTTCGGATTCGGGTTTACCCAAAATATCTTAAAATTGAATATTTAGTATTTTAATCTATTCAAACTACTTGAAAACACACAAAATATCTTAAAAACCGAGTATTTTTTTACCCAATCTATCCAAAAGTAGCTAAAATATCTTAAAATCCAAATATTTTATGCACTTAAGTTTTTTGTAAATATAATTATTACTAATATATTATTACTATGTATTTATATTTAGGAAATGTTCGGGTACTTGTTCGAGTTCGGGTTTTGTAGTTTAAAACCCGTTTGATATTTTAAAATTATGAGTTCGGGTCGGTTTTAGTTCGGTTCTTCGGGTTCGGATATTATGCCAAGACCTAGAAACAACATGTTCGACGAAATGAGTTGAGTATACGTTGTGTTTTTTTTTGCAGAGGACCCATGTCGTCTGCAAAGTTGAGTATACGGGCCACGACGTGGAGTCTGTTCTTGTTGATTACGGTCCATCGGATTTTGGTTTGTTGCCTAGCCTGACTCAAGAAGATTGGGACTTTGCATTTTCTGATTAAAGTCTAGATTAATTAATTAGCGACATAATAGAAAGACTTCGTGTTTATACCTTTTTCTAGTCACACAATTTGACCTTTTGTCTTTTTTTTTTTCTTGTAAATATTTACAATAATGAACTTTTATCTTTCTTTTTCTTGTAAATATTTACAATAATGCCCTTGAAATTTTCAAGTAAGTGATTAAAGTTATAGTAATTTTTCTTATATAAAGTTATTACTTTGCCAGTTAACCGATACTTGTGATTTCCACTGGTTCCACTCGTTGATAACTATGAGCCTTGGAAGAAATGCAACGGAAATTTTTGCCAATATCCAACAGTATTTATTTCTCTTCCGTTTCATTTTCCCCTACTTACATTTCTAGACTCATTCCAGTATCAATATTTCTTTCCTTTTTTTTGTGGTAAAACAATATTTTATTTTATTTTGTTTACTAATATGTCAAAAAAACTCAAAATGAATCATGGATAATGGTCTCATGTATGCCACATATATTGTAGAGTCATAACACATTTTAGAATCTTGCGACATATAGTGATCCGGAAATTATGTTACTTTATCGCATTTATACACGAAACTTTGAGTCGTGCTAATAACAACATAAACTTAACTAAAATTTGAATTTCATATACGAACAAAACAAATTCGATTTAAACCCACAGTTTTCTAAACGGTGTTAATGTTTTTTTAACTGTAGACTGACTAAGATGCCATGTAGATAACTAAAAAATAATAAAATAAGATCAAATAAATTTTTCTCCCGATCTCCTCACTAACCCTCTTCATCATCCTTCATCACCTCGTCACTCCCACCACCACTCCTTCCACCGCTTCTCTCAGCCAAACTAGAGAAATTAATTTGAAACCACTGTCTGTGATGAGGAAATGGAGAAGAAAAAGCAAAATAAAGATTTGTATGGGTTTTAACGTGTTGTTTGGGTTTAGCTCGTATGCATAAACATCAAATGTCAGAAATCTAAACTAGATCATAAGTTCAACAACAAATCTGACGAAGGAAAAAATGAGCTAGAACCATAATCACAAGATTTGTATACCAGACGAAACCAAACGAATTGCAATGATTGCTCTGTTTTGGCCTATCTTTCCAAGGAGGGTTTGCGGCGGCGCGTGGATTTCAGTGACTAAGAAAATAACAAAGACAATTAATTTTGAAATGTTTTTATATTTTGTTCAAAAAAAAAAAAAATGTTTTTATATAAATGCATTTGATTGTACTTACGTCAATTGTTATGGTGGCTCAACTGGTTTAGAGTATGTTGTCAAGACCTCAAAGTCATAGGGGAATTGGTCGTTTTCCCTATATTGATGATCCTATCTTTCTATTTATATAAAAGCACTGATGATTTTTTTTTTCTACTATTGTAGCCTTGTAGACTTTCACGTAAGCCTTGATCATCGTTATTTTCAATATTCATATGATTTAATCCAATATTTTTCTTCTGTTTAAAATTTGCATGCATGTTTCTGAAGTCATGAAATAACTTTTAAAAATCACAAGTTGTTCAAACTAATGAGAGATATAGTTGTGCTTATGTAATCTTAATGAGAGATAAGTTAGATGATGGATTTTATGAAGATGCTGCTGTAAGTGAGCAGTATTATATTAGAACTAGAGCCCAAATATAAATTTGGTATGAATGCCTATGGTTATAATATCTTGCACTTTATTTCGAGGCCCAGTTACATTTCTTTCTTCTTCCATCACAGATTGCATGCAGCAAGTAAATGAACTCAAAATAGGCTTTGGCACTAAAACCATGAAGTTTTTATTTTTCAGAGATAAGAAAGTAATGAACAAATCACTTCAAAAAAGTATAGATCAATCTAATCATCTGAAAAGGAAACATATAATTAACAAATTAAAATCTAACTATGATTTGTATAAAAAGGGACCAAAAAACATTAAAATTAATATATATATATATATATATATATATATATTAATTATGGGAAATATGAACGTGCATATCTATATATATATATATATATATATATATATATATATAAGTTGAAGACCCTAATAACGCAACATGTGTAAATGTTATAATTTGTAATATTTTGACAAAGAAAATTATTTCACATTAAAAATTAAGTATATATGATTTTTGAAAAATTGATTAAATTAAAGAAAGAACAAAAAAAGAAAAGAAAACAAAATAAATAATATGATATCTTCTTTTAAATAAATATGAGTAGCTTGGGGAAATTTCAATTTAATTTTACATGTGTCACAATTTAATTATACAAACACATATCATAGTCTTATGATTTCAAAATTACGTCACGTGTCTCAAAAAAACGTATCAATTTTATATATAAGACAGATATCCCTATAGTTGATGGGTGTGTGAACATTATTTAAGTTTTACTTGTAGTTCATTTCAAAACAATGTCTCTGCTTTTCGGCCTAGTTGCAAAACATTATGTAAGTTTTTCTTTTCGCTATCAACAAAACCCAACTACTTTATTTTTCTATGCCTTTGAAAGTTTTGTTGATTCCCCCGCAATCAATTATAGGTTGAAGAAGGTGACACAACACGTTTATGCTCATATCCACTACAAACCCCGTACATGTTGGTCAACTATAGTTTTGAACAAGACGAATCTACAAATGAAGAAGAAAATATGTTTGTAAGTTACAATTTATTCAATCTAAGAAGTGAAAAAATCATCAAGATTACAGGCAAGAAATTTCCAAAAGTGTTGTACCAAAGGTTTATCCTCCTTGGAACCTCCCGTGGCTGGGCAGTTTTTATGGGTATGAATGATTCCACCATATATCTCAGCGACATATTTAATCCTTGGTCCTCAAAGTCATCCCCCAAAACCATTTCTCTACCTCCATTGGCGTTTCCTAATTTTGAAATGACCATAAACGTTTCATTGTCTACTCCTTTTCCCGACCACGACAATAACTCTATAGTGAGTATTACCTTCTGTGGATCTAAACTTAGTTATTGTATGCCTAATCGAGATTTAGAGTGGACCACCATTAACATTCCATTCTCCAGCGATATCGACTCACATGTTGTTTATTCTCGGAAAGACCAAATGTTCTACCTCCTTAGTACAGGATGTGCCTACATGGTTACCTTGGATCTTAAAAACAATAAGAACCCTACATTCATGCAGTTACAGTTTGAGAATTTCCCTTTGATACCACAACACGAGTGGGAGATATTATCTTCATGTTCACGGAGTGACTATATGATGGAGACTTCTTCTGGCGAACGTTTCATTATTCATTGGTAAGTCCACAACTAATAGAACCACGTAACTAGTAGATTTTCTAGCTAAATAGTAATTGTAAAGAATATTGAGTTGGTAACCGATGAAACTTAACAATACTGAAAATATTTATTTTTAATATGAAGGTATGTGACGTATGTGGAGCCAACGCGCAATGGGAACAGAACTAAAATATATGGAAAAACTAAGCGATTCATGGTGTTTAGGATAGAAAAAGATGATAAATATAAAGGAAGAAGAATGATCGCTAGCTACACAGACAATATTGGAGATCTTTGCATTTTCATTGGCGAGAATGAGATATTCTGTTTAGAGGCATGCAAGTATCCTGGACTCAAGCCTAATTCGATATATTATGTTAGTTATGGCTTTGGTGTGTACGATATCAGTAATAGAAGCGCCCGCGAATATAAGTTAAATGATTTTCCTACATTTTGCGGAAATGCTTGTTTTTTGTCTCCTCTTCTCCATTAGCTAAATAAAATGTCTACACAATTCGTTTAATGAATTATTAGATTACGTTTGGTGTTTAATTTCAATGACTTTTATTCAAATCTGAGTAATATTGTTTTATTAACTTAACGTTTGAAACTCACAGTAACACAAAGGTATATTGACGACTTTGGTGCCCAAAATTTGGAGCAGCTTCTCTGGACGGAGGAGAAACACAAACTTTTTGAGAAAATGGAGCACCCACTCCGGATTTTCGAAACCGAGCATACAACCACAAGCTTTGGATTTTCAAACATCCATAATTCTCTTGTTTATTGATGGATTTGAGTGACTTTTAGGGCTATCTCATTTGTTTTTTTTAACTCTCTACAATTTCATAGTCGACCGCGATAACACTTCCAGGAGATGTCATGCTTTCCACTTGTTGGAATGCACATGGTGCAAAAAAAACAACGACCCCTCCCCGTGTTAGCAACCCGCACACGGGGAAATCCCTTCTCCCTCACAAGGTGCCTCTCACGGTTCATGTGCAAGCGTCTATCAATTCACGTAAAAAGATCCAATATGTACCTGCTGATCAGAAATGGCGCATGCATCCCGCTCATGCAACCGATGAGATGGATGTTTACCTTAGACTGCAAAGCGCTAAGTAAACCCGTATAGGCCAATCCCTCTAACTCTTGAAGACGATCATATATATTGACATATCAAATACACACATTACTCTCTATTAGTCGGCGTTAAGAGTCAATTTCTTATTCTATTTCAGTATAGACGTACTTACATAGCATATTACACAATTGATACGATGAGTACGATCTCATCGTATCGTATGAACTTCAGTTTCATACGAAATCCCTATTCCACTCCTACCCATGGATCGGCTATTTAACCTTAAAATATTAACTATTACTTGGGAGATATTATCATATTAATTACCTACCAACGACTGAGTCCAATAAGAAACTTTATTAGGATTTGTTCTTACTTCCACTTTGTACAAAGGAGATAAATATAGCCTCCAAAGCAAAAAAGAAAAGCTTACGCAATAAATCAACTGAGAGTTCAGATACATTGTTTTAATTAAGACAGAACATAGTACCAACTAATGTAACATTAATTAACTCAGTTTCTAGTTTACGTAGAAGTATGAACATTACACAATAATTAAGTAACGTCAACACTCTCCATTATCTATGAGTCTCAGGATTGAACTAGATTGGAACGAATTGCACAATCGTTGCCTCGATTCTCGAGCTTTTCTCTCCCTTGAAAGCTTTTTTTTTTTTCAGATCTCCGTTTTTACGTTTTGCTTGATCTTAATTGTTGCTATTGAGACTTCTAGTTTATGGTCCAGGAGTTAGTAAGGACGCTTCTCCGACTGCGGCGGTGTGGATTTTGCCACCGATGTAGCCGCTGCTCTGGTTTTAACGGAGGTGGTGAATCGAGGTCGTGGTTCGCGGTTGAGGACGCCGTGAAGTGCTTCGAGGATCCCCACGGCTCAACCGTTTTTCCTGTAGTGGAGGCTATGGCGGAAGTTGGTGGCGATATGGTGGGTTTCGCGGTTTTGACGCGGTGGTTAACGGCAGCTCCTCTGGATTTGCTTGGCTCACGCGGAGTTCGTCTTCAGAGGTTTGGGTGAGCCACCACCCTCTGGATTCGCCGTGTTTGGTGTTCACCGGTCCGGTCGAGGCGTTCTTGCTTGGTCTAATCGGAGAGATCTGGAAGTGGAGGGAAGGGGATAGATCTATGGGTCGGATTGCTAGGTCGGGATCTGACTCCGTAGAAGCGGTTGTCGCGGTGGCTAGCTTTTCGGGAGATAAGTGGCGGATCTGGTGCGTCGGTGGTGAGAGAACGTGGTTGGAATTTGGACCCTTCCCGTTGTGTTCTTCGATCTGTCGAGGCTGCCGTGAAGCTGGGTATCTTGGGTTCACCGGATCTAATGCTCCGGCCACCGTGCAGTCGTCCATCAGCAGGGTCCGAGCTTTCTGTTTCGTTTCCGACATCTCTCTTGTTGGGCTATTTTGTACCTGGGCCATTGACTTGTAAGGCTTTTTATGCCAAGCCCTTTTGGGAAGTTATTATAAATTAATATATTTAAAAAAAAAAAAAAAAAAAAAAAAAAAAATCTATGAGTCTCAGGCCCAATTAACTTGCAACCTACATATGGAAGGTTCACTGCAAATCTTTTGTTAGAATATCCATAAATTTTCCTTCAGAGCTAACGAAGGGAAACCAAGATAATTTCTGTGTCATTATTTATCTGGAAACAAAATCGTGTAATTATGTTTTTTCGTAAAAACTGCAAAGATGTGTTTTGGTACCAAAACACTGAAATTACATTTTTCGAAGACCCCAAAATCACCAACTTTATAGAAATTGGTAGTTATATATAAAAAAATAAATTCAAAATATTTGATGAGAAGAAATTAGGTTATCATTTCTTTATTTATAGAAATCATGTAATTTCTTCTCATCAAATATTTTGAATTTAATTTTTTACGTATTATTTTGTTTTAAAGAGAAAACGACGTAATATTAAAAAAATATTCAAAAACTTATTACAACGCGTTGAATAAAATTCAAGTTGCTAGTCCACATACAGTTAAGCATTATTATATAATACATATACAGTAGATTATTAATTTACTTTTAACAACGTTCGGACAGAAAACTGGTAATTTGTGTGCTTATAATATTCTCAAAATTTTAATCCTATGAAACTAAATAAATAAAGTAACAATTGCGTAGTTAGAATGAAAATTAAAAAACAAGTTTTTGCTTTATTATACTAATGGAAAACGTGTTGGAGTTGAAAAATGTAAGATTATGGAATGCATAAACTTCAAAATGAAGTTTGCCGTAAGTAGCACTTAATTTGGTTATAAAAGAGCGGTAAAATCACACAATTTACATTCAAAACAACAACAACAACAACAACAACAAAGAATCAAATCCATAAACAAAAAAAATAAAGAATGATGAATAAAGTGACAAATTTTCTTCGCAATATGTTCCGAAGAGGCGACGTGAGATTGGCTGCGGAGGAATTATACACAAGGGGGTTCAAAAAGGGAGCTGAAGAACTAGGTAACAAAAATTATAATAGAATTTTCAATAACTAAACATTTTCTTCAAATTCAAGAGATTATAATTAAGATAATTATTTGGTTAAAAACTAATAATTTTCTTAAAATATATATTTTGAAGCAAAACCAAAGAAGGAATACTCAGAAGAAAAAGGTGAAAATAAGAATGAAGCGAAGGATTCGTCTTCTACAACTAAATGAAAATGCTGATGATCATTTAGTTTATAGTTGATAAATAAAAATAAAATTGTAAGAAATAAAAAGTTTGTTTTAATTATTTACGGGAAACTTTGGGGCATGTCCTAGTTTCCTATTTATTTATGTAAATAAAAGAGATTAGAGAATTTCAACTTCAGCTTCTTTATTTAATAATATTTTTGAGGTAGTTCTTCAAAAAAATTATCAAATATAGACCAAAATAAAAATTAAGAAAAACAAAAAAAAAAAGAAAGTTATGGAAGAAAAAAACACTTCAAAAAAGTATAGATAAATTTAATCATCTGACAGGTAAACATATAACAAATAAAAGAATTAGATTTGTAACTATATGATTTGTAAAAGAAAGAAACAAATAAACATTAACAGTAAGATATATATTTACTAATGAGCTTTTTACCCGATCTTCACCCGCAATGAACGGGCCTACTAGTCATCACTAATGGGCTTTTCATTCTTACGGCCCAATTCAATATTAATTACTATTATTCGCAAATTTTTTATCACGGCTTCGCTCCGATCTAGGGCCTAGTTTAGTTTATTAGCTCTCGCCGGCGATTTAGCGAAGATGGGAAGTGACCACGACGGTTCTCCGTCGGGGAACACAAAACGCGAAGTAGAAGATAGAGAAATCAGAATAAAATCATCCCGGGAGAAACCTAGCGGTGCCGGAAAGGATTCCGGCGAAGAGAAAGATGTGAGTCGCCGCCGTGAATCGAAGAAGAGGACAAAAGACGGCAACGATTCCGGCTCTGAATCTGGTTTGGAAAGTGGAAGCGAGTCTGAATCTGGTAAGGAAGAAGAGAGACGTAGAAGTAGAAAGGATAGAGGGAAGAGGAAATCAGATCGGAAATCATCTAGGAGAAGACGTCGTGATTACTCGAGTAGTAGCTCAGATTCGGAATCAGAATCGGAGTCTGAGGAGAGTGAGAGTGAAGATGAGAGAAGGAGGAGGAAGAGGAAGAGAAGGGAGAGGGAAGAGAAAGAGAGGAAGAGAAGAAGAAGAGAGAAAGATAAGAAGAAGAGGAACAAGTCTGATAAAGATGGAGATAGGAAGAAGAAGAAGAAGAAGAAATCTGAGAAAGTGAAGAAAGGAGCTGTCACTGAATCATGGGGGAAGTATGGAATCATCAGAGAAACTGATATGTGGTAAAGTATCAGTTTCTGTCTTTTGGAAGATCTTAAGCTCTTTTAGTACTACAATGTTGAGTCTTTTGTGGAGATTTCAATAGAAAATTGTGTTGATGACTGGCCTGGATTGTGTATACATTAGATATATATATTGAAGTTGTTGATTACTTGTGTGTAGGAATAAACGACCAGAGTTCACAGCGTGGTTGCTTGAAGTAAAAAAGGTAACTTTATCTATACACTCTATAGTCTTATATGATCCTAATTGGATTCAGAAGTGAAGCCGATTAGAGTTACAGAATTGATTTTGGTTATCTGTTTGGCTTGAATAGGTTAATTTGGAAAGCTTGCCACCTTGGGAAGAGAAGAAAATGTTTAAAGAGTATGTACTTTGATTTATGTTCTGATGTAACTTTAGAGTTTGTGTTTCATATGAAGCTCTTTTGGTTTCTGATAAATGTTGTATGCGATTGATGTTGTTTTCACAGTTTTATGGAAGATCATAATACGGGTACATTTACCTCGAAAAAGTAAGCTTCTTTCTTGTGTGGATGTATTAGTGTTGTTGAATGCTTATGGTTGAGATTAGTTGTTTATCAAAGATTTGTTCTTCTTGCAGATACTATGACATTGATGGTTACTATAGACTTAAGTTGGAAAAAGAGATGAAAAAGGGTTTGAAGAAAGCTGGGATTAGTGAACGTACTGTGTTCAATGATGAGGAACAACGCCGGTAACCAAAGATTCTTACTTTATATCTTCAGTCAATAAAATATAGTAATCTTGTTGGATGAGTTGCTTAAGAGTCATGTCTTTTTGTACTTGTTTCAGGCTAGAGATGCAGGAATTACGCGAAAGGCAAAAGGAAGAAGAAGTGTTAGCTCTAAAGCGATCAATGGAAGGCGGAATGGTTAGTGTCATTTTCTGAATCCTTTACCATTAATCTACTTACTTGCACAAAAATCTTATGTGAGTGATTATAATCCAATTGCAGGCACAAGCTATGAAAGAGCAGGCTCGGCTAAAGGAAGAGATGGTGTACTTATACAAGATTGGAGACATGGAGGTTCGATACAAAAGAAACCCCTGTTTTCTCTTTGTGCTTTATATCATCCTCAATTCCATTCTTAATGTAACATTTTCGGATTAATTTTGATACACGCAGGGTGCAGCTGCTATACAGAGAAGGTTGGATCCGGATGTTCCCATGTAATGTGGAGGTTTTGGTTAAGCTACAACATTTTCTTGATCGTGTTCCTAAATTGTGTTCCATAAATCATACTTCTGTAACATGAGGATAAGAAAAAACAAAATATTTCATCTCCTAGAGCACTAAGCATGATACTTATAAAGTTTTTTGGATATCATTATTCACCCAGAGGTCAAGTAATGAAAGGTGGTCAATTCTAGGTTAGACAAGAAAGGAAAATTAGTACAACAATTATTTTAGTTTAATAGAGTGAACATTAATGTCCCAAATTACAAATTACAATCTCACTGCAAACACCAATTTTCACACTCATAAAACATTACACAACGTAGATACTGAAAGACCATCATAACCGTAAATATGAAAACGAAAGACCACACCTCAAACATTACAAAAGAAAAGATAGCACACATATGATAGTCACAAACATTACAGCCCAAGTAGGAGTGAATATGGTATAGTGTCATATGTTGAATCTATTTATAGATTTCGATGACGGAAAACGGATAAACAGAGCATGCAATTTCACAACGTGAAAAACCCGATGCATACGCTAGATTTTCAAACTCATAGAGAGATCTCTCTTTACCACCCGAACATTGTGTTAACATTGTCATGTCCATGCCAAACACAATGTTAGAACATATATCTCCGCTCTTTGCTTCCACCGGTGTAACCATTTCCACTATAATCACTTTTCCATTTTCTTCAAGACTTTTCCAACTGTTTTTAAGAATCTTTATGCATTGTTCCTCCGTCCAATCATGTAAGATCCACTGTTATAATTCGAGATTATTGTGCTTTAGTAAATATATTCAAAATTTTATTTATCTCTTGGGATATATAGAAGACTTACTTTCATAAAAATGGCATCTCCATTTGGAATTTTTGTAAACATATCTCCCGCTGCATGTTTTATACCTGAAAAACTTACGAAAATTATAACCCGCATATTATCTAAGAAATGTCTTGATGTCATAGGTTACTACAGTAAACACAAAACAAAAACAAAAACATAATTGTGAAGTTATTAGTTTTGAAAAATGTGTATTGGAATTTTAGTTTTGATAATTGTTTATTAAATTTCAAAATAAAAGCATGATTCCTACCGGGGTAAAGAGGAGCGCGGGCTATAACGGGAGGCAAATCGAAATTGATACCCAAAATATGAGGATATTTGGAAGTGATGAGACTTAAAGTGTTACCAAGTCCTCCTCCCACATCCACTAAAGTCTTTACATCTTTGAATCCATCGTAAGCTTCTAGAACTATTTCCATAACCATAGACGAAGATTCCGACATAGCCTGACTAAACAGTTTGCAGTATTGTTCATTGGACCGCATGTATTCAAATAATTTCATCCCATGAGCAGAATTGAATGCATCTTTTCCTTCTAAAATGACACCCTTGAGATGTCCCATAGTGAAAACAAAAATATCTTATTAGTATAAACAATTTGTTGTTAACCGGTTTAAATAGATGGTCATAACCGGTCAAATGAAGATTGAAGAATCAAATATGGTTTTATTGTGTTAATTTTTAAAAACAATAGATTACCAAGTCTTGATGTTGACGTCGCTAAGGTTCATCATGATCAGAGACGCAAAAGATCCTGAGCTATCACTATTGTTCAAGAGAAACTTGCAGACCGGTTCAGCTGTATATACCCTCTCGATTTTGCCGGTTTGACCGTTTTCTTTTGTTACAACATTACGACACTTCAAGATTGAGTAGCTAGCGAGTAACCGGAGCATACGGTCAATCAAAACCGGAGCCTCGGGGTTACTAGGTTTGGTTGGGAGTCTTAGTGCTATCTCGGAAGGTGAGAGCCACAAGCCATCGCCAATGGTGGCAATAATGTCGATGACACCGAGCTCTAAGGCTGCTTTGAGAACCATGGGGAATGCGGCTGCGTTCGAGAGCCTCCTCGCTAGCAACCTGGCCTCTTCAACTTGTTGTTCATCTTTGGTTTGGGCCGATTTAGGGTTAGGGTAAATGGTTGAGGGTACTACAAAATTGTTTTCCATGGTTCTTGTTTGGAGGGAGTGATGCTAAATATGTGAGTTGGTTTAAACTTCACATTTTGTGCCATTTTATAGGTGAAATATCTCAATGGTGTTAGAGGCATTTGGTTCGGTGATTAGTACCAAGATTAGATATCCAGCCAACATTTTGTCTTTCTTTTTTTTCTTCAGCACATTATGTCCTTTTTTTTGTTAATAGTTATTTATAAGCTATAGTCGCCATTTAAGCGCGAAAATGTTCGTTCAATTAGCCAGTTTCATAAAGTTGGTATTTAGGTAAGCGCATTAATTATTAACGAAATATGAAACTGGGTCGGAGGTTATGTGTCATATTCGATTAAAAGAAAATCATTTCCTAAAAGTATAAAGATTTACAAGAAGTGAAGATTCTAATATTAGTACATTGGAACTAGTCTACAACGGTTTTGCTTGTCTCGTGGTCAAAAACCTCCCTATCCGACCGGAGAGTCCTAATCTAACGTTACGTTAAACTGACACCCAATCACTAAATTCCACGTGTAGGTGAACTACAAGGTTCCCCACAAGTATATAAACATCTACCCGTAATGCTCTTTCATCACAACTCACAATTACAAAAGCTAAACAGTTCTTTAACAATCAAAGTAAGTTTTTTTCAAAGAGAAGATTAGAAAATGTCTAACAACAGTCAGAGCATGAGCTTCAACGCTGGCCAAGCTAAAGGCCAAACCCAGGTTTGGTCTATACGACAAAGTTTTTCAAAACTTTAATATTTCAATGTTATATTTTAGTATTAATTAGAGGCTAACTAAAAATATTGTAGGAGAAGGCAAGCAACTTGATGGACAAGGCCTCCAATGCTGCCCAATCTGCTAAGGAATCTATCCAAGAGGTTTATTTTCTTTTCTTCTTCTTTAATACCTATTTTTGAAATAATTTTGAGGATTCAGAAAAATTAAAAATTATTGGTTTTTTTTTTTTTTTTGAAAAATTATAGGGTGGACAGCAGCTGAAGCAGAAGGCACAAGGTGCGAGTGAGACCATTAAGGAAAAGACCGGCATCAGCAAATGAGAAGCACGTTCTAATAATAAATTATGTTTTCTGTTTTCGTTTTTATTCTACCAGAATAATAATTAGATAGATATGTCTATCTAAATCCAAGACTATGGATTTCGATCGAAGCCATTTAGGCAATTACTTTTGCTTCTCTATGTTTTTTATTTTAATATAAATATCGATCCAAGGTTTTTTAACTCTTGTCTCTTAATAATTTGTAGCCATGCAGTTATTTCTATATTTAAATAAATGACATGATTACATGAAACTATAGCTTAATTTTTATTTTATATAAGCAATGATTGCGGCTAAATTTATTCTCTTTGTTAATTACCATGACTAGACAACTTGGATTATAGTTTCGATTAGTGACATGTTAAATAGTGAAATGGTGGAACCTATCATTTCAGAGGAAAACTAGAACATACATTAATTGTTGTGAAGGAATTGAGTTTTTATTTATTTAGTTGTATTTAAGCACTTGAGTTAGTTAATTTTGTTTGTTTTATTATTCCGTTTTCCATACACGTTACAAATGTATGCCACAAGTGTGTGTGTATGCATGCAAGTGTCGAGTACGAATATAATCTGGTGCACTTTGATCATTGTGATATGTATCTAACTATTAACCGATAATAGTTCTTATACGTAGTGTTATTTCGGGAAGAATTAGTCACCATTAATTTTCATATATAATAAGATCGACATATAATATGCTCGCTTTGCATGTTTATGCAATAAGAGGGAATCTTTAACCATTTGGGTTCTAGAAGACGCTAATGATTTGAAGTTTGAAAGAATTTGATCCCTCATGGAGGGACGACATTTTTCACCGATTGGAATTCGAGTCCCCACTATTTTTACCTTTATCTTATTCTTTTTTTGGCTTCTTAGTTTTTGTTGTTTTTCCATTAATACTAAAATAATTTAAACAAAACAGCAAAGAAAAAAGAATTGGATACTATCTCCATTTTAATCTTGTTTCCTCATGTGCTCACACTGATTTGTGTAAATGTTGTTGTAAGTTGTAACTCACAATAAAGGAGAACATATTCGCACTAAGATATGTTTTATTTTTATTTTTAATTCTGTTAGAGAATATTTGTACTTCATTTTCTATTGGTAACTTGATATTAAAAACTTTTAGTAAAACATCTTTTCAAAATTTTGACCTTTATGCTATACATATTAATCTCATACAAAATTGAAATATAAATGATTTAGTACAACGTCTTGTCAAATTTTTCTTTATGCTTATTCATACACGCTATAACTAACCAATATTGATATTGATATTCCTTTTTGGGTAAGAAAACAAGTGGGGGTGCCTATAAGTTGAAATCTTATTAGAAGTACAAAATCTACATATACATTTTTACAGGGTTTTTTTGCATAAATTCTTTTGAATCCGGGTTTTACCCGGTTTAATTATATTCGGATCCTAGATAAGACAATTAAGGAAGTTTGTAATAAATAAATAAACGACATTATCTCTTTAATCACTCATTTAAACTCTTTTCCTTAACTTCTTCCCACATTAATAGGTTCTTTTTTTCTATAATCTATATTCAGATATTTTTTCTTTCAACTAATTACTCCTTAACATACCTTAAACAAACGACACAATCTCTAAAAATATCTCAACAATTCTCATTTAATCTCTATTTAAGTTAATAATTTGAAATCAAAAACGATTTTCACATATTTGCCAAAATTCTAGCCACAATCTTCCTAAAAATCTACATTATCCTTATTTCTTCCAAACAAAAATATTCATACCGAGTAATTTAAAGAAATTATTTACTACTATACAAAATCGGAACTGCAGCATATTCCTAAAATAAATCGATTACAAAGATTTGATTCGAATTTAGTTAAGGTTGCAAAGATATTTTCCTTCGCTACCACGAATTTCGTAACCTAATCGTCACACGCCTATATATATTCATTAGCTTCACCTTTCATCACACCATCGAACACACAAAGCATTTGCCCACCAAATGTTGTTTTCAAGGAGGTTTTCCAGAATATCAACTGACTCGCTTATTGCCAAAAAGTTTTGACAATAGCCTCCGAGAAGGTATGTAAACCTTAACTTTATTTTCTGTGTATTTCAATTATGGTTTGAAAAAAAAAAAAAACCATTCAGTAATGTAAAAGCTAAACATGTGTCAATTTATAATTGCAGGTGACTCATTGCCAATCAATTGAGTCAAAGTAAAGCAAAGAATCAACCATATCTTCTTCAACGACATGAAGAACTGTTTATGTTTTTCAATTTAGTCAAACAGTGATATGGCGAGGTGTACCCAATTTCATTATATATTTTATCTACCAACATTGAAAAGATTACTATTCTATATGCACGTATTTGTTTTAGCTGACTGAATGTTATTTATTTACTAACCTGTATAAACTCTAACTTGATCCCGCATATCGGTACGGTACCTCCAATAGCTTTGTTGGCTCTCTTCTTTTTCTCCACCAGTGAATAGAATGAGTTAAGAGCTATATCAATAGTAAGTATAATCATTGATATGTTATGTGTAGTAATAAAGATAGTATTAGTGTTTCTTTGCTTTTTAATTTCATTATGTAAGTTATCTATCTAATGCTCTAGACATATTTTGATTAGACATCAGTATTTCGACCAATCAACACTGAAAACTAATAAATTATAATCTTCTACTATCCCATATTCCTTACAACTTATGGTTCTGTTATTTGTTACTAACCTTTGTGGCAGAGACAAATTATGAAGTTTTAATGCTACTTTGATTAGTTGTTTCATAGACTTTACTCTCACCTGCGAAGAAAAGCATAATGTTCTTTAGTTTCACAATTTAGATAGTATAAATAGCACATTATAGGATGAAAGATAATGAATACTTATCTTCCTAATCGTAAACATTTTTATAGTTATCGCCATCGCCTAGATATGCACTTTGTTATTAGCTTGGCTAGACAATCCTATGATGTAAAGTAGTTAGCATAGTTTGGAGAAAGCTAACATGTATGGGGTTTTTTGCTTTATCTATAGCTAACATGTTATTCGCTTCAAATGCATATAACAAATAAATAAAAAATCCACTAGATAAAAAATTCAGAGAAAGCTTATACTAACACAAAGCTTCTTAGAGCTCCTTACAAAAACCTTGAGATTATCCATTGTCTCCTGGTGATATAATCAGCATCTCCCCAACTGAAATCGACTGGAGCCACTAATGACAGAACCATGAGTAAGTTATCAGTGAAATCGAACCCAAATCAAGTTAGCAAACTGGAAAAACACAAACAGTTGGGGGCGATGGTTAGTACCAGACATGCCGGTTTTGAGACAGCCGGATAGAGCCTCGACGGATCGGTATTTGGGACCGAGAGTTCCGACGATCTGAGTCAATGCGGGAAGAAATTTTGAGAAATACATATAAAAAAAAAGATCAGAGGAACCTCTACAAACAAATTGAATGCTTGGTGGGCAATCGATCCATGCGAAATTGCAAATCGATTAAGAACGGGATACTAAAGCATCGAGCAGTAAGAGAGCTCACCGATTTGAAAGGCTTGAGGATTGAAGCCATCATGATCGGTTCCTCGAGAAGAAGATTGCTCGAATGCATCTTCGGTGATGGAAGTGGAGAGACATCTCACATGTTCGACGGCGACGGGAGAAAAACGCAGAGTGAAAATTCGACGGAAGAGGTTTGGTGATTGTAAAGGCTTGCCGTCGAACATATCGCCGACTGGCTTCAGATATTTATTTTCACTTTTTTTTTCCACCAAATGACTGATTTGATGCTTCACTAAACACTATGGTTTGTTCATATTTGGTCATTCTCATGTATTTACTGGACTTAACCCATAAACCTGCCGGGGCTGTAATAGTTTTATGTTTTAAAGTCCAATTGCAAACCTTTTATCCAAAAAAAACATTTTTTTTTTATATATGTATAATTTGATGTAGGTAAATTTATTTAGTAAAAAAACTGAATTAATTTTATATTATTTAATTTGATATAGTTATATTTATCAAATTTTAAGTAATTCGTTTTCCAAATATATTTATTTTAAAGTACATTAATTAAATTATGGTTACTTTAATATTCCTTCTTTAACAAACTCATTTTGCTATTTTACATACTATAAACCAAACTCATGTTGGTAATAAATAATTTGTTTAGTTATAAATTAGATTAACCACAAAAAAAAAATTATTAGCAAAGATATAAAGATTATTTATGTATACTGAATAATATGTTGTTTTAGATTATTATGCAATTTACTCATAATCTTTATTAATGAGGACAACATTTTTTTTTCCTTGATGAAATATGTAAAGTCAAGAATGTTAATATATTCAAACCTAACACAAAAAAGATTCAAACTATATCCGCCATATATCGTTACTTAATGAATTTATGCTTTTGTATCTATATTTTAAAAATTAAAACGTAAAACATACTAACTGCACACTATATATAATATATAGATATATATATATGTATATTTAAATAAACACAAAATGATAGTTTATATCTATAGATAATCTTCAAAAAAATTACATTTTAATTTTTTTTTTAATATAGTCTCGCGGTATACCGTGGTAATGAACTATATAATTTTCTCTATCTCTATATTTTCAAAAATGAACTTAAAATATACTAATCCTACAATATATAGATATATACATATCTCTATATATACATTTAAATATAAAAAACAATAATATATATAAAAGAAAGCCTTAAAATAAAAGATATTAATTTTTTTATTTAATAAAAATATAGGCCTGCGGTTTACTGCGGGTTAACATCTAGTAGTTAAAGAAGGATAGATACAAGGAAAAATGCGAAAGACCCTTAATGTAATAAATACTACAAAATAACCTTGGACATAATACAAAAACCTTCAACTTAATGCAACATAATAAATTTACTATTTCTTAGTTAAAATGACTTCATTTCAGTTTCCATTAATAGTATAATAAATGTGTTTATATTAAAAAAAAAGAAAGATTATGGATCTTTTATTATATGGAAGATTATTTTGCATAATTTATAATCTAAAATTGATCATACATAAAGATAATAATTGGAAGGTAGTTTTTGCTTTTTCTTCCTAGATACAATGTTAAGTTTCTAATAAATATTTTTAATATTTTATTTAAATAGGTCCAAATATTACAAGTTCATGTATTTGAGTTATCGATCATTTGCTACCATGAATATTTGCAAGACAGAAAATATATCAAAATCTCATGTGGGGTCATAAATCATAGACATTTAAATCTTATCCGTGATTGTAGACAAACAAAAGTTATTATTTTTTTATTGTAGAGCGTAATAATTTTCTAACGTGTGTCAACATAAATGGTAATTACAAATTACTTAAATTAATAAAACATGTTAGAAGAACAGACGAATTGAAGAAAAGGAAAAAACTAAGCATGTCAAAAATTTAAGAACATCGCAATTCGCATATCGCATTGCGTTAACATTAAGTATAGATTCTAAAAGAGAAAATTCTCAATAATTGTTCTTCTACCTATAGGAATTATTCTAATATCATGGATTTGGGCGTCATCAAATTCCAGATAAACAGTATATATCACCATAGTTTTTAGAAACATGATTTGATGTTCTTTAATATACGATTCTTAATGGATATCCAGAAATAGTTATGTATGTATTTTTCTACTTCAATATCAAAGTATGAAATAGTTAGTCACATGATTAGCTTATAAATTCACCGTTATGGTCTTAAGTATGAAAAAAGAATTATGGACGGACATGTATGATTCATCATTTAAAAGTCATTTTTATATTTGATACGTTTTCGATGTTAAAACAATGTAAATTTTGGTTTAGACATTCTTGTGACTAAACATGTCGTATGAAAAAATAAGCCTCTCACCCCAATTATCCAGAAGAAAAAAATCTTGGCAGATATTTTCAAACACTTGTAGATTCGTATAAGAGAAATGATGATGATGTTAGACGTAGATGTATAATGTACATAGACTTCGGAACACGAATCTAACAAAATTATGTTTTTGAGAGAATTTTTTTAATTTTCCACAGTTTTAAAGAGAAAGAAAGAGAATGAGAGATGGGTCCATGACACCTCACTTTTTAAAGTCTTTTTAATTGTCGTCGCACGACAAAACTAAACAACAACATTACACATTATTCACATCAGCAACTTCCACTCTTCTTCTCTTCAATCATTCTCTCTCTCTCTCTATCTCTATCTCTTTCCCTCATATACACAAATCAATACAACACGAAGACATCTCATTAATGGAAGTTTCAACATCATCCATGTCTTCAAAACCAGAACAAATGCAAAACCCAGCTCCTATGATGATCTCATCTCCTAGGTTTCAGCCTCAGATAAGATCTCCTCATCATCATGACCAGCATCAACATCTCTCAAATCCTTACCCAACAACATTTGTTCAAGCAGACACTTCTACTTTCAAACAAGTCGTCCAGATGCTCACCGGCTCCTCCACCGATAACACCACCGGAAAACACCATGAAGCTCCTTCTCCGGTGAACAACAACAACAACAAGGGGTCAAGTTTCTCGATTCCACCCATCAAGAAAACCAACAGCTTCAAGCTTTACGAGAGAAGACAAAACAACAACAACAACAACATGTTCGCTAAGAATGACCTAATGATCAATACGTTAAGGCTTCAGAACTCTCAGAGATTGATGTTCACAGGAGGAAATAGTAGTCATCATCAAAGCCCGAGATTCTCCCCGAGAAACAGTTCATCATCAGAAAATATTCTTCTGTCTCCAAGCATGCTGGATTTTCCGAAGCTAGGGCTAAACAGTCCCGTGACGCCACTGAGAAGCAACGATGACCCCTTCAACAAGTCATCGCCTTTATCGTTAGGGAATTCATCTGAAGAAGACAAAGCAATTGCTGAGAAAGGCTTTTATCTTCATCCTTCTCCAGTCTCAACCCCTAGAGACTCTCAGCCACTGCTTCTTCCTCTTTTTCCGATTACTTCTCCGGCGAGCAACCCTTGATCCCGACGACCCTTGAGTAATTATATACATGATATTAAATTATATCTATTTCCGGATTTTGTTTAGCTATAACTAAGATATCTATAATTTTGATCTTAGTTATGGAGTGACTGTAAATTTTGTGCGGTTTTTATTCACTTTTAATCTCAAAACTTAATAGCAATATATGTATTTGGAAGTTATAAGTATATATATTCATGATGATACTCATTTTTATAAGACTTCTTATTATTCTTTTTGTTTTTCTAAAAGATCGTTTATGGTTTTGCTCATATACATGATTGTGTAGTTCAACGTGTGCCACTCAATATCGATATCGAATGTAGAGAATCGATCCATGTCTATGCTCGAATTTATGATATAGACTTAATATTCCTAAAAAGTAAATACCTATTTTATGTAAAAAAAATAGTTCTTCATTACTTATAAAATATAGATATGAAAGTCTATAGTTGCGATTGGAAAACATGAGTGGATCGAATGGTCATTGTCAATAAGTATCTATTGGAAGTTGGACTAGTAACATGAAAATTTCAATATCCTTAAAAATAATAAAAGAAAGTTTCAAAGAGACAATTTGAAATAGAGAGACTCGTGAAAGAAATTTCTGACCAGGTTCGACACGGTAGTATTGGACCATTTCGGTATATGATGACTTAGAATTTGATGGAGTCATCATGGAGGCACGTTTGGTCTTTTACTACATTTCTTTGGACTTTCTCTTCTTCTTTATTTTTTTGCTTAAAGAAATAGATATACGTTAATACTGTTCTTCTGTTGCTTTGGCTTTTGACTTGAAAGGACAAAAAAATAATCTTTGAATGAAAATAAAAAAGTATTAAATAAAAAAGTGGAGAGAAAGAGAGTGTAAAAGAAAGTAAAAGACGAAATAAGTAGTCCGTTATGATGAGAGTTGAAAACCAAGCAAAAGTCGAATCATCTTTGCTTCACATTGCAAGCAACTTCCACTTTCAATTTGCCCACACATTTCCTATATATTCACATTATCTGAAAATTTCGATAAAACAATTTTCAGATATATATATATATATATATATATATATATATATATATATATATATATATATGCGGCCGAACTTATAATGTTTTTATATCTAAATTCAAGACCAAGTTGATGTTAAACAAATTTCTGTAAATTAGCCACTAATATTACTTATATACATTATTTAACTTCGGAACCAATGTTGCCAATACTTTTTCTTTGGCTTCTTTTTTTTTCCTCAGGATTATTCAAATCAATAAATATAAATGTAACTATATATAAAATAAAAAAACTGCTAGTCAATTATTGAATATATCAAGAAACATAAGCAAGACTAATGCATTGCTTACGGCTAAAAAAACATAAATAGTAACTTAACATGTTGGGTTGTTCAACAATATTCTTAGAGCATTTTCATCGGTAAGGTTTTGGAGAATTTCTCGTAATTAAAATATTAGAAAAAAAATAAAAAAAAAAAAGAGGTGAGAAGGTGAGAAACTCTCATTTGCCACGTGTTGAATTTATATTGGTCAAACCCTAAATATATTTTTTTTTTTTTTTTTTTCAAACCCTAAATATTAGATGAAATTTAACTAGAAAAACAAAATTTTGAGAACCCTAGTAACTAAAGAAGAACAACTTCACAAGTACTAGAGCATCTTGGTATTGCATGGAGTGTCTGGCGAATGTGGTTTACATTTTCCTCCCAATAATCATTCCTTAGAGTCAATTTCTCCAGAATTGTTGAATTCTCGAGGAAGTACCTTGCTACTTTCAATTCTGTTCCACATCCAAAGAGCTCATGACTTTCCAATTTAACAAACTTAAGCGACGATACCAAACACGGTGGCACTGTCGAAGACATCACCTCTGCTTTTTTCTTCTTTTTATAGTTAAACAATTTCTGAGAAAACGAAAAAAAAATAGAAGAAAACAAGTTAGTAGAGAAGTTTCGTTAAAATATGCTTTAATTTACTAGTAGAGGGTCAAGCAATTCATCACCAAGCTGAGAGATTCTAGTTTCGGGCAGCTCTTAAGAAGATTTAGCAACATTTCCAGATTAGAAATAGAACAAACAGCACTCAATTATGTTCCATGTAACAAAAGATGTCCTGGTAGGAAGAGTAAGAAAGAATATGTTAGAGATAATATATATTTTATAGAAAGAAGATTTATATACTCAGATATTGTCACATGTATACCTTGATAGTAGCATAACTAATGACTAGAGACTTGACCCTTGAAATACTGGTGAAGAAATCGCGCATCATGCTTCTGTTGGATAAGTCGTTTGGATCCAAAGTAGTGAGCCAGTTAGCGTCCATATCTACCTTGGCAGTGAAACCTAGATTGATGAAATCAATGTTCTTTATTGAGTGAGTTTGAATCATCAAAAACTGGAGTAGAGGAGTATCGATAACAAGTCTAGTATGTCGATCAAACCACCCATGTATGTCGACTCTCTTTAGTGTCTGAGAGCGTACTTGTAGAACATTTGCATTATCTTCAGAATATTTTGCAATGGTTAAATCTTCTAAAACTGGAGAGCATGAGATCAGTTTATCCAACGTGGTCTCGTTGGTATATTTAACAAACTCTAAATGCAGGATCTTCAGACAAGGTAAGGAAACAAACTCGACATTAACCATGGTGAGTAGAGAGAGTCGTAAGTGTACCAGTGTATCACAAGTATACAAGCTCAGGGGTATGTCACCGAATTCAGGACGGTAAAAAACATGACTAATATCAATATGCTGAATCCTACGCCTAGTCACAAGATCTATCCATGAGGTGAGATACGACTTACCAGCTTGATCACTAATACGTAAACATAGTTTTTGTATACATGAGTCTTTGTGGATGTCAAAAAACCTGCCAACGAAACTCACAAATAACCGGAACTCGCGGCCGTTTAAATCCAATACAGGAACCAATTGCCAAAGATTTCTCCATCTTGTGGATAAGATACTTGTTCTTACAGCTTCCTTTGTGGGAAGATGAGAAAGAATCTGACATATCAAATGATCAGGTAATTGGCTTATCCTATCTTACATTTATCCTATCTTCACCATTTGTTTCTCTTCACAAAGCTTATCAAAAGAAGGCTAGGGTTTTTAAGGTTCTCACACGATTATGCTTAACCACTGACTTAATAGAGAAGATTTTGACACTTATTGGGCAGATTTGATCATGGGCCTCAGAGACTAGATGGGCTTCTTTGAGCATAAAAATTTTCAAACGCTCTGCGGAGGATTCAAACTTTACTGATTTGATCCACTAGTAAAAACCAGATATGAGCTTTTTTAGTCAAAGCTCTGCATTAGATTTATTATCAAGTCTGTTTTTATTTGGTAAATGTGCTCAAATCAAGTGCAACTCCATAAGAAAAAGATGATACATAGAGGAAACTCTAGATTTGGGAGAATGATGTGACAGTCTTGAACCCGTGATTTTCCGGTAATGGAGCGTTTCCAGGTCGAATCGATATAATCGCCTCCAGACCTTATATACCACCAGAATTGAGAAACAAACTCATTTTCCTTAAAAAAAACAGAATCTCTAAATGGTTTTCATGTAAATAGGATTTTTAGAGTTTTGTGTGTGTGTTTTTTACCTGCAGCTTTTGCAGCTGTGGCTTCTTGATAAACATCTGTCACAAACAGAATCTCTGAAGGATCATCCATTCCCAATGTTTCTGTAATCTCCTTGTAACTTTTACTTTCTTTCTTGTTTCTGTAGCCACGAAGCGTATGAGATTTATAGTTGGATCGTATTCTATTGAAAGGGAAGTGGATAGATCTTTTTTTATATACCCGATTGTAGTGTCGAAAAAGCCAGATAAATACTTTCTCAGATCTCCATAGTCTGTGTTCCCAAAGAGAAGCTTTTGCGCTAATCGACTACCGCTAGAATATATGTAAACCTATTCGCATAAAAACCCATTAGACCTGTGAAAAAATGTCATTTCTTTAAAAGCTACACCAACATACCTTGATTCCTGAAGAATGCCATTTCTCTAAAGCATCTGCTACATCCTCGAAAACAACAGATTTCAGTTCATTACACTCAAAACCCGTTCGCCATATGTGACCCTGCATACAAAAATTCATATAGCCTTTACCACACAATATTGAAGTCAACAATAAAAATAAAGGCGGAGTCTGTTTTTTTTTTTTTTGATCACCTGCAATTCCTTTAAAGCAGTGATCTTTCTATCAGCTCTTATCATTGCCTCTACGTTTGAGACCACAGCGGCAATGACCTTTTCTTTTCCTTCATCAGCATGAGGAATAGGAACAGCGCCGGTTACACCCTGTCTCAAGTCTTCCTCAACCTGCAACAAATTCCAGAGATGAACTTTAGTCACTTGTTTATGAGAAGAGATGATTAAATAATAAAGTAAGTTTGTAGAGGAAATTAATTTGTTATTACTTGAGCCCGCAACAGCTTAATATCCTCTTGGGTTTCTGCTGTGTCATATGTCAAATTCAGGTGCTTTCCAACGTTTTCACGAGCATAAGGAAAGAGAACATCTGTGACGAAAGTAATGGGCGTGGTTGTTCCTTCAATGTCGAGGACAATACATCGCTGCAACCAAACAGGTTATAAGTAAATTTAGACTTCTAGAGATATATGACAAGAGACATCAGTCACTTTTTACCCGAGGCCATTCTGTTTCGTTTTGTGAATCTTTGACCCCGGATTTCACAGATAGTTTTTTGGAAATTTGATTCTGTGAATGCATGGTTCTTCGGATAGGCCCGTGGTCTGGGGTAGCAGCATCCAGACCCAGTTGATGAAGCTTAATGGCAGCATCGAACAGATAATGGTAACATTCAGCCTGGAAGTGATAGTTAAAGTTTATAAATATAAGCAAACAAATATATGAACACAACATAAGAAAAAGGCATAGAACTTAGTGTTGGTTTCTCAACTTTCAACCAAATATTGAAGTAACTTGCACAAACCTGTGTCTTAGCATGGATCCAAGAATCACCCCAAATGTAAACTCCGTGATTGCGTACCAACACTGCTGTTGCTTTTGGATAGGCTTCTATCTGAAAATGAGAGTGAAATATGTCAAAACTAATTAAAACCATTCTTTTGTTGCATATACTCATTTCATGCTTCCTCAGAACAATTAGACTTACAGCTTTGGTGAGTGAATCTGTTAGTTCATTCTCATATGCGGTGTTCTCTATGATTGGGACAACAAGTTCGTCATAGTATCCGTGACCTTGAATCCCTTTTATCATCTCCATGTGAGTTATCTATGAAATGTCCAACAGGAAGAAACATTAAAATGCAAAGTCCTAACTCTACTGGGGAACCTGGAACAATATTAGCATTATTCGACTTACACGGAATTCTTTGGCTTGCGGATTCAGCATCGTCACAAGACAAGATTCCATGCCATGACTGTGAATAACAGCTCCAGCATTTCGCATCTCATATGCCTTCACCACAACAAGGTAATGCTATGAAACTTATTGATAACGTCACTATCTCAATGTTATTAGAGATTGGACATCTATAAAACGAAAAGGGAAATCATACAAACAAAGCAAGTCAATTTGACATGACCACATACAACTTGTCGAAACACAACTTACTGAAGGAAAAAGAGATTGTCTTAACATACATGCAAATCATATATAAGTTTACACATTACAAGCATTGATCATGCAACCTCACTGATCAACTGAACCCAAGAAATCTTTTTGATATACTAAGGTGATTCTTTAATAAGTAAAGAGAAGTTACAACCAAACCTCCATTTTCAAGAGTGTCTGTGTAAACATCAATACGCGCTACCTATCAGTTCATTTTTCTGAGCCCATTGTGTTTGTTCTAAGTTCTAACACTTGACTGAATCCATTTCAACCAGTGCAACTTAGTGGATATTCTATGGGTCGAAGAAACCCACTTGACGCATCCAACGAGGGGATTATTGCTCAAATTGGACAAGTTTTACCTTGTAACCGAGTTTTCGCAAGCGTTTCCCCAAAGAAAGCCGCCTGTTCTGCACTTTTTTTGGATTGTAATCCAACAATCATTAGCAAACAACGTAGTTGCCAATCCAGAAAAAGATCACCGCTAAAATGGGAGGCAGGCCAAACTACCACTAGAAAAGAGGGACGAGCTCTTAACCTATTTGGGTCATAACCATGTGCTCTAAGAAAAATCCTTCTTAACAGAAAACAGTATAACTTGAAATCCGTAAGTGCTGCTCAACACTTCGATGAAAAACCAATATTGCAAAAAGTTTGAGAGAAACACAAAATGCACAATCAGCAAAGGAAATACCATACGATAAAGTAGGCCAAACAGGCCAACATCAAAGTGTCATTCAACAATAGCAAAGTGATAATCAAGCTTAGTACACAGAAATCCCTAAAAGAGAATCAAGTTTTACTACCTAGAAAGGGTCAAAACCATACCTTCATGAAAAGAGGAGCACAATCAGTACACTTAGGAGGCTTATTTGGGTATGGCTTTGGAGAGGGTGTAGATATGATGGATCCATTTGCAGATAAGATGTACATATCCTCCGGTTGCATCCTTTCCTTTTGAACACCTTCAAACACAACAAGAATCAGCGAATTAGTAAAGCAAATAACACTCAATAACACATGGAATCAGCATTACGATATAATCCCCTTTCATTAACTCAATAAGTCAATAAAGCAAATAAGTCACCAATGATTAATATGCACAAAGAGAACGCTTCTCAACATTGAAAGACGAACACAATTGTCCACATAAAGAGTGCTTATTTTAGGAGCATAAATACACATAGCTCATATAGCAAATTGAAGGTCCACGAGAACAAACCCACCAACTCAATAGAGCAAAGACACAAGTTCAAAGAGGTAACAAAATCAGAATCAGAGTTAAAGAAAGCGACTTTAAGATGTAGAGAACCTGAAGGAGACATGACGATAAGTTGCTCCGGTTTAGGAATCGAAGCATCATGAACCTTCATCGTTATGCTACCGCCAGTTCCAGATACCCAACCTTGAGTATAAAAATGACGACAGAGTTCAGTGACCAACGAACTTGTCTCCTTCACCTCCTTCCCTTCCAGATACGCCTGTGGAAACCCGATCATCGCAGCTGCAGCCACCGCCATAGATTCTCAGAGAGAGAGGTACAGAGATTGAAAAATTGGAGCTTTTCAGAGGAATGAAACGCAGGTTTTATCTGTTTTCAGAGAATATGATTCCTTTTTCATTTTCCCTTAAAACTTTCGTTAATTTTTTTATTTAAGGTCCAAAGTTGCGTAAAGATTGCATTTTTAAGTAGAGCATTTTTCTTGCTTTAGAACAAAAAATCCAAAAAATTTAAACTTTCGTAGCAAATTTCAATTTTTAATATACCTTGATTACTGAAAATTTACTGGGCACACACTGTTTTAAGGTTAAAACGTCAATGAATGGGGCACGAAATTTATCAACCACGGCGCTTCCTCCGCCGTATCTTCGCCGTCACCGCCGCAAATATAGAAAAGATGCAACTCCTTGTCGTTTTTCTCACTCAAAAACGACACGTAGTCTAAGAAAAAGTGACATGTTTGGTAACAAAGAATAAGTCTATCCACATTCGAGATAAGAATAGTGTAAAACCACTCTTGAACCCTCTTCAAAACTAACATCACTCAAAACCAGAGAGCGAGAGAAGGTCTTATCTTCTTCTTCTTCTTCTTCTTCTCCAATGTCGAGAGGACCAGGTCGTTTGATACAGAACGTGACACAGTTCGCTGATGCTCAATTCAAACAATTCTCTACTCGTTATGGACAACAAGTCATAGACATTCTCGATTTTCCAATCAAGCTTGTCTTGTCTCCTTTCACTCTCGCTTTCGATATCGCTGGCTCTGCACCTCGTGGTTTTGGCATCCCTGAATTCATCTCCAAAATTTCGTATCTCTCTGTTTTCGTGAGTTGTTTTCTCCTCAAATTTATGGTTTAGAACTTGACATTTAACTGCCGTAAAGGTTCAAACTTTTGTTGGTTTTGGCTGAGTTTCTAGCTTGGAATTATCATTTTCTTTCTGGGTTTTTTCGTATCTGATGTTTCTTTGAAAATTACTCTCTGTATGTTTGCCAAAGTTTTGAACTTTAATTTGAGTTCGAATTTATGTCGAAGTCTTAGTAGATCAGAATCAATTTAGGAAACTGAGTATTGTCTGTTTTACTTGTGGTATATGGAATCTATTTATCATTGAAGCTCTATTGATTGCAGGCGGTTGCTACGCTTGGAACTTATGACATTGCATTGGATTTGGGGAAGAAAGTCATATGCCAAAGGTCAGAGAATTTTTGAGAAACCGCAGTTCTTACACACATCCTCATTAAGTTTTTTGGTTATACTGTTTGAGGTCATACGATGGCTCGAAAACGTTTTCTGTTGGTCAGGGATTGCAAAACTTGTAATGGGTGGCAGGCATTACGGTGCACTATGTGCAAAGGAACAGGGAGTGTTCATTACCAAATCAAAGATTACAACTTGAGAAGGTGGGATTGTCTTTTGTTAAACCCAGTTATCATCATCGCTTCAACCATTAGACTTCATGAGAATTAATCAAACCACCGTTATTCTGATACGTCTCTGAGTATTCTTAAAATGGTGTATGTTAATGCTTTAGTTATTCAAGTGATATTCTAACATACGTAAAAGAACTTAAAGATTTCTCCTTTCTGTCTTATTTTTGTAGTGGAGAGAAACCAACAGCAGATTGCGTCGCAGATGCCATAGTTGAGAATCGAGCTGAGTTGGTTCATCTTCCCTCCTCCATCAACCATAGTGCTCCTTTGCCATCAAAAGACTGCCCAACTTGTGATGGAACGGTAAGCTTTTTAATCTCGCTGCTAATGCTCTAGGCTTCTGTAAATGTATTTGCGCTGCTATATTGGATACTGATTTGGTTTATATCTCCAAATTGTCAATTACTGCTAATTTCATATCCACGTAATAAGGTACTTGTATGTGTGTTAAGAGTGATCGAGATAGGCTGTTTTTACATCAGTGTATGCTAAGTAATTTGATGGAACATCTATTGATATTGCAGGGCGTGATGAGCTGTACTGAGTGCAAGAACAAGCTGCAAGTCAGGATCTCGGCTGATGATGTATGTTTTGCGTCTGCTATTACGTCTTCTCAGCTTAACATCTACATAAATCCACTGTGGGATGTATATATACTAGTTATTAGGTATTAAATGCACACAGAGAGGTAGCTTGGTTTGCATATATCTCTTGTTATATACCCATACTGACGATTCATTTTGCAGATCATGGAACCTCCATGGAAAGCCTATAATGTGCTGAAGAAGATGGATTATCCGTACGAGGTGAGCAAAGTCTATTTATCGACCCAATAGCTTGCTATGTTTACCACATCTCACCGTCTTATGAGTCATATTTTCTATCTCAGCATATTGTTCACAGCATGAAAGATCCCAGCATTGCAAATTTCTGGTTGATCACTTTGCCTCAGATTGTGGGTGGGTTTGATTATGATGAAGATGTTAAGAAGAAAATATGGTGGCAATACGAGGTAAGTATCTCTTTCTACTTACGTAGATCTCCTTCAGCATGACTTATATACCAGGCTTCTAGTTTAGAGTTTACTGTCATTTGAAGGTTATGGTCTTCTAGAGGCTTAAAGCAAGCATACCATAAAAGCTAGTCTACAATTAGCTGAAAGTTGAATCTTCTTAATCCTCATTTGGATGGTTTTGCTACACCAATATAGTTTCTGTTCCGTATCTGGATAGGTTTGTGCTATGGAATTTGAGACATTTGTGGGATATTGATGTGCTCAAGGCTCTGCATCGCATAGAATTTTCTTTCTGTGCAATAGGAAACCTAAGGGCGGCTATTGTTGTTGAGTAATTCAGCTCTAAACATCAATGATAGTTAACTATATATGTCTCTTGCGATCAGGAATCTATGCGATATGATCAACTTCGGGACTTGGTGGCTAAACGCAATCCTGGCTGGGAATATTTGCAGGATGTAAGATCGCCTTTGTGGTTTTTAAAGATTTTACACAAATCTAGGGAACTAAATTGGAATACGTTAACTGAAGAAGTTAAGCAATCACCATTTAGTTGTCATGGTTTTACAGGCCTTGGTCTCCATTGATCCTGTCCGTGCTCGGGAAGACCCCGTCATAGTGAAAAATGTTCCTTATTACAAGGCGAAGAAATCTCTTGAGGCTGAAGTCACAAAACTCAGTCCACCTCCCCGTCCTCAGAATTGGGGTGTAAGCTTTCTTCTTCTTTTTGGTTTAGCATCACGGTTTCCGTTATTTGTGTTCCTGAGACCACGGGCATAGTTAAGAACTAACTGCTGAACATGTACAGGAACTGAATCTCCCATTGAATACTTCCTCTTGGAGTGAAGAGGACCTCAAAAACCCGGCAAAACTGTACGAGAAGACAGTTCTTCTCAATGCTCAAAGAGAAATCGCAGACAAAATCTTGGATGCGCAATGGGAAGCTAAATGGCGCCAAGAGAAGGTTAATCAAGGAACTTTTTTGACACAATTCGGTATTCATATCACATTCACGACTCCAATGCATACCATATTATCTTTTTCATCTGTAGGTGGAGGAAATGTTGGAGGAGAAAGTGAGACCTTTCATCCAAAACTCAAGCATGGCTGTTCTTCCGCAACCCATCTTGTTAAAGTCACAGAAGAAAGCTCAAAAGGTAACAATTGAATTGGTTACAAGAATAAGCCTACTTGATTCTCACTTACACACTAAATAAGGTTCCAACTTAAATCATACAAGAAGCTATTTTGCCTGAAAATAAAACCTAGGATCACTTGTTGGGTCTTCATGCACCAAATTTAACAACTAGTCATCGTCATCAATCCGATTATGCACCCGAAACTGTCTGCATTTTGATACATCCTTATTAACTCCATAAATCTATCATTCTTGATTTAGTTCATTTATTTTTGAATTTCTTGGATTGATTTCTTTGTTTCTGACACAGGGAAGCCGGCAAAGGAAGTGGTGGTTCTTTTAACCAGCCAAGTGTGTCGAACGAATCTAGGATAAATGGATTATGAATTGAGTTTTTGTGCTTCGTTGATGAAAATATGCTTTGATATGAATCTTGAAGGGTGTCGAATACTATTACACTTAAAGAAATGTTGTTTTTGCGGACACTTGGCAGATTCATTGTGTACCGCCACGTGTATACGACGATCTATCTTTCATGCCTTGACTTAGCTTTCGTCGTTCTCCAATCAATCACTCTATTATTCAAGTCCTCGTGTCTCACCGTTACATTTTTGAGATAATTAGGCCAGAGGTAAGGATCTGGGCCCAAATTAGTTTTTTGGTAATTCTTGTCGGAGCCCAAAACTAATGTGACATTAGCCCATCTCTTTTCCCGTTTTAGCCTCACACGCGTCTAAGGAAACGGAAGAGTTCTTTTGTTTTTCCCGAGGTGTTCATGCGTGTATATGTGGGGTTCTCTTAAATGAATCCATATTCTTCTGCACTAGACTGTTGAGTTTCTTTGTTCTTCTCTCTATTTTTCTTCCTCCATTAAAACCCTAATTGCGATCATTTCTCCCAGTTTTCTTACCATCTTCCGTCTCTTTCTTTTTTTGTCACACGGAACTACAACCACTTCGCCGTCGCGACTTGCCGGAGTGTCTGTGCCCCCGATTATAGCGTTAACGCGGTGGATTCATCCGAAGAGTTATGTTTTTATGTTTTAAGTGTCGGATAGTCGAGCTTTTTTCCCCGATTTTGGTGTTTTCTTTTTTGGAGATTACAAATGTTTTCTTTTCTGGTTGTTTTCCTTATACTGCATACCCGATTGTGTACTTTTTAACCTTTATCTAGTGTTTTTTCCCTGTTTTACTCTATAAATTCGGTGTTTATAGCCATAGATCTAATTGGTACTTCACTTTTCTCTTGTCCTTCAGTTTAGATATTCATTTTTTCACATAGATCTACATTTACTCTAATATTTCCTAACAACTTTCTGTTTCTTCTCGTAGACATCTACAGATCTAAATAGACCAGCATGTTTCCGTGTAGATCTATACGCGTATTTTTTAACAACTATTATTTTTTTTGGATATTTACAGATCTACTTAGGTTGGTATAGATCTAATTAGATATGTATTTATCGTATATATCTGAAACTTCTCCTCATACTTTTACTTATATCCGTGTAGATGCATGTTGATGTTTGTCAGTGTATCTAATTTTGTTTTTTCCTTTGTACAGTAATATGGCTGAGTTGGAGCTTCCTTCCCGATTGTTCGCCGATAGAGAGGAACCTGCTGGTGACAGAGTGAATATGTACTTCAAGCTCAACACGATCAAGGCTGTGCTCAAAGCCCTTACGCCTGAAGAACTTGATACCATTAGGCCGTGCTTTGGGAAACTTCTTGATGTCTACTCCAAACCGGTGTTCTCTGGCAAATTGGCTCACTTTCTGTTAACCCGCCAGCTCAATGTTGTAAAGCGACATGAGATATGGGTTGTTTTTGCTGGCAAACCGGTCCGATTTTCTCTCAGGGAGTTTGGTTTGGTCACCGGCCTAAATTGCCAGCCTCTTCCAGCCCTGGATAGAGCTTTAACCAAGTGTCCTCCCGGCGTCACTCCCTACTGGTTCACTCTGTTTGGTGGTGAAGAATGTTTCACCGGAGAGATGTTGTTGGGCAAGCTTCGAAGGCCAAAGGCACTGTCTAGTGAAGTGAGAGTCAAGTATGCCTGTTTGTTACTTGTTGATGGTTTTCTTTGTCGTCGATCATTCCACATGAAGATTCCTAAGGAGCATGTGGAGATGATTCATGATCTTGATGTCTTTTTGAAATACCCTTGGGGGCGCTACAGTTTCGATATGACAATGCAATGCATTAAGTCAAGATCTCTCAATCAATTAGCTCAAGCAACTGTGGCTATTCAAGGTTTCATCCATGCACTTGGTCTGGTTTTGGTGGAGGCCGTCCCAGCTGTTTTGTCTGCTGTTGGTGAAATAACTGACCCCGAGTCTGGGGATGAAGATGTTTTCCCAGTTATTTCACTGAAACTGGATAAGGTTTGGGACCTCGACAAAGATTCCAAGGTACAATTGACATCTATATTTATCTTTAACTGTCTACCTTTTCAATGGAGTTATAATTGGAAAATAATAACCTAATAATTTTTGTTGCAGGTTGATGTCTTCTCTATAATACCTGCGCCCCACGATGTTGTTGGTTTAGAAGATTGTAGTTGGGCTGATGAGGTCCGTGACCCAGGTGTTGAAGTTATTCTTTCTAAAATTGAAGAGGGATGCGAATTCAACCGAGGGATGTTTGTAGGGGGACTTAGAGGCGCTGTTTTGCATGTGGAGGCTCCTCCTCGGGTAGTTAACAAAGGTAAACACAAAGTTCGGTCCAGGCATAGTGGTGAACATCTGGTCAGAGGTGGATCCTCTAGGGACAAGAAATTGAAGGTTCGTAGTGGTAAGGGTAAGCATGTCCTGTCTGACCCTAATACTTCCCTTCTTGGGGCTCTTAGAAATGAAATCGAGGCTAGTCTGAAGGATGCTCGTGGTGATGTATATGCTCATGTTTATGTTGACTTGAAAGAAATGGAGTTGAGGTTGGAGAGGAGTATGAAACGAAGTATTTTCTCTGCGGTTGCTGAGGCTCTCAGTTCTATGGAAATTGTAAAGAGTGTTGTTACTGAGGTTGGGGTTGGTACTTCTGATCCTTACAGCCAGCCTCCCGCTAATGGTGCATCTAACCCTGTCAATCCTGCTAAAGTTGCATCTATCCTCGTGAATCCTGCTGATGGTGCATCATCTCCTGTCAATCCAGCTGCAACCTCCAACTTGAATGGTGAATCTGAAGAGGTAATTCGCTTGTTCTGTGTCACTAGTTACAGTTTTAAATTCATTTTAGTGACCTTTTCTATTTTCTAGGCTGAAGATTTCTTCCTCTGGGAGTGAGGATTCCACTAAGTCTCAGGCATCGGGAGGTACTATTGATGGGGAAGGCGGCAGTGTTCCTGAGGCTGCATTGGAATCTGATGGTACTCCTAGCTCGGAGAAGTTCAAGAAGCTAGTTGAGCTACTTGAGCCAAGATTGTAAGTTTATACTCTTTTTTTCTATTAAAGCTACTTAATTATTTAGATATGCATTAACATATGTAGAGATATACAATTAGGCATTTAGCTATGCATGCTACCATGTAGAGATATATATATATTCAGCCCGTATGCTATTTTATTAGTTACATTTGATTTGAATGGTTCTCCTACATCTGAGAAGTTCATGAAACTAGTCGACCTACTTGAGCCAAGATTGTAAGCGTAGACTCTATTTTCATATTCAAGCTAATTAGTTATGTAGATATGTATTAACATATGTAGAGATATATAATTAGCCATTTAGCTATGCATACTACCATGTAGATATATATATTCAGCATGCATGCTATTTTATTAGTTACAATTGGTCTAAATGGTATATATTGTGTTGCATCGTTATGTTGTGTATATTATTATTTCCAGTGACTTTGAGTATGGTGGAGGAATTGTTTTGAAGGAGAGTGAATTGCGTATGGTTGCTAGTAGCATACCCCCTGATAATCCCCAGGTTTATCTTTGTTCCATGTTATTTTTATGCTAGAGACATGTGGTACTTTCCGTTACTAATTGGTGTATTTTAGGTTATGGATGCTTGTGTCTCTGTAATGAGAGAATCTGTCTTCATTAACACTGATCCAGCAGCCGTCCCTAGAGCTGATATGCTGACAAGTCATTTCCATGGTTCTCTTGCTGTTATGTTCTCTAAATTCAAGAAGTGTAGGCGCAAAGAGAGTTTTGAATTTGATGAAGATCTGTTGAGCTCAATAACTCACAGATTTAGCAGCACTAGAAGGAAATGGCTTGAAGCCATAGATTACCTCTACTCTCCTTTCAACATTGACAAGAACCGCTGGATTGCTGTCATGGTGGACCTGCCCTCGCATTCACTCTCTGTTTTCGATTCTACTGCTAATGCCCTTCGTGGATCCAGACTTAAACCTGAACTGGAGTTCTTATGTGAGATGTTTCCATATTTGGTTCATAAGATTGGTGCGAACGATCTGATGATAAATTACCCATTGTCTCCGTTGTCTTTCACTCACCACACCCGCGTTACACAAGCTTCAGACCGCGCAAACACCGGTATGCTTTCCCTTCTTTTCATGGAGGCGCATGCATTTGGTAGTTTCGATAAGGTTTGTCAAGTCTCAGAGGCTGGTCTTCGTCAGCGAGCAGAGCAGCTAGCTGTTCAGTTATATGAGCATTGCTGTGGCGATATCGAAGTATGAAAAGGCTATGTCTTTCTTCCCTCCTATCCCTGTATAACTTTGAACAATTTCTGTCATTTCTATTACCTTTTGTGTTTGTTGTTTCAAATCTGGACTTGTTTTTCGCATCTTTAGGATTTTGGGTAATACTTTATGTTAATGCTGGCTAAGGAATGTGTTGGACTTTTACTTAATCTTGACCCTTTAGTGTAACCTTTTTATTGGTCGTATATGTTTGTTATTAGATATTCAACGATGTTTAATGTTATGCTTATGGATATATATTTCTCTAAGTAAACATTTGCAAACGTATTCTATAAGTTTTATGTAAGTTAGTTTAATAGATATTCATTATTATATATTAGTATGTAAAATACGGAATAGACTCCAACAAACATTTAGGCAATCTATTTATTTATTTATTATGTTTCCGTTTCCTAAGTTTTCGATTTTGTAAAACAATAAAAAGAACTCTTCCATTAGATAACTATATTGAAAGGGCTACAGTTAACTGCGCCGAAAAAGGGATACAGTGGTCTATGTCTGCATAGTAGGGGGCACCTAAAAGCCTATGACTCGTACAACACGAAGACGCGTTTTCAATGCGGGGTCCACCATCTCAAAGCTTACCCTTTCCAACCCATTAAAGGTTGTAATTTGGTTGGTGCGGCAGCCGAAGGAGGAAAAAAATAAAAATTTCCAAATGAATAATACGCCAAGACAACCGTTGGCTGCGGAATCTGAAGGAGGATCAAGCTCCACGGTACAAGATATCGGAAATGAGTTCATGTGGATGTCGGATTCACACACTCAAGTATTCTATTAGGTGGGAAAGATTATTCTTGAGGGACAAAAGATGAATATGTAAAAACTTATAAATTGGTACGAAAAATTACTATATTATTTCTTTTCTCCAGAGGAAGACCTCCTTTACATGGCCATTGGCCTCTATATTTATACATAAATAAACGACATTAAAATGAGTAATTAAGCACAATTATTTCTTCTTAAATGTGTCCGTTTTGATTATTCGGCTTTAATGCTCAACGTTTAAATTTGAGTTGACTCTGATCTTCATGGGCCTCGCCTTTTTGGCCCAAGTGTCCTTGAACCGACTTACCCGTGTCTTCTACACCGAACTCGTATCACAGTGCAGTCACTTCGGATTCTCGAAGTGGTGACAACCACTTCGACCGTCTCCTCGGTTCACGGGTCCAATGGGCTTCATCCTTTATGGGCCACCCGCTTGACTACGTGGCAATCTTTGGTTGGTCTCGTACTTCTGGTGCGGGATCCGACACCAACAATTAGCCCCCCAAGTTCTTCGAAGTGCTATTCTAATTCGGAGGACTTTAAATGCTCAAGTGGCCAAAGATTGCGCTCGAGAATCTTTCTGATTTCCCGCCGAAAATCTCATCACTCCTTTAACTTCGGCACTAGCCATTTTTAACCGAGTGACATATGTCATCATTATGACCGTATATTGATTAATTACTATTAAAACGGGAAAAACCTTCCCACTTCCCACACGACTTCTGAGGCGGTTTCATCATTAGCTTGAGGTAACTTCTTTTCACCATTACTCTCTTCTTTTACTTTTGTACTTTAATCAAAACCTTTCTCCTCGTTCTTTCGCCAAAACCCTTCTTCGCCGGATCTTGAATTTTTCTTTCTTCCCAATGACTTCCGATTCCGATAGACCCGAGTCTCCGTCTTTCGATGAGAGGCGTTCTAGCAATGACGAGTGCACCCGCTCTGATGATATTGCCGGTCCGCACTATAGGTCCACTTGTACTCTTCAATCCCTCGAGCGGTTGGAAGAGCTTTGCCGGATTCCGCCGGAAATTATGGCAGACGCACAAATAGCTTCCCCCACAGAATCCCCAGAGAACCATCGTGATGGTTACTTCTGTGTGTATGAAATTTATTTCAAAGGTTGCGGGCTGACCTTTCCTCTTCCCGAAGCCCTAGTTCTATACCTAGCGGCTCTTGAAATCGCTCTGCCCCAATTAACCCCAAATCTTCTCCGTACTATTCTTGGAATTATAACAATCGCGGTGGAGGCCGGTTACGTTATCGGAGTTGCTGAACTAAATGAGCTTCTGAGCGTGAGAAGTTCATCGAAGAAAACGGGGTATTTCTCAGCGTATCCCAATGCCAACAGGAACATCATTTCACATCTTCCGAACAAGGATGAAAATTGGCATCATCCTTGGTTTCTAATTAAGAAAACTCCCGCTTCGATTGGAAATCTCGTAGATTTTCTCCCTTCGAAGTGGTCTGCGAAACCTGGTAGTGATTAGGTTGCCCGTATCTTTCTCGATTGTTTCTTTATCTTTATTGACTTACACCGTTGTTTCATTTCGCAGCTTTCATCGCTTCCAATCTCCCATCTGAAGAGTTCATCGAATTCTTCAAAATAATTCTTGAAGGGGAAACCCTTTGGAATTCCTTCACTCTTGAACGATTCCTAGAAGCTAACCACAGACTCAAGATGAGTCCGCCTGGTCATCTTCACCAAATTCCTCCCCCTCATTCAACTCAGGGAATGTCATCTCGGGCTCTTGCGGCCAAGCGTAAGTTGCTTTCCTAGCCGATGGCTGAGGCTTGCGAGGAGAAGAAAAAGTTTCTCGCGACTTCTATAGACAAGAAGGACTACAGTAGAACCTTGCTGGTTGATGATGGCAGCACCGAGGGAGCTCGATCTGTCGCTTCCTTCAGATTAACTCCTCGTCGCGATCGTCGCGAATCACGTTCTCCTCGGAGGGATCGATCTCCTCGCCGTGATTCACCTCGTCCTTCCCGAGATGATTTTAGTAACGAACCAATTAAGAACTTGGTTCGCCGGAAGAGAGACAAGTCCTCTCGCAGCGACTCTTCTCCGCAGAGGGAAAAGTCAAGGGCCCGGACTGACCGCTCACCTCGGTTATCCCCTCCTTCTGAACCAATGGGTCCTCCACGACCGGTTGACATGTCCTCCTCTTCCCAGCCTGATAGTGGAAAAACCGCCCGGAGCGCGTCTCCGAAAAAGGGAGATTCTGAATCTCGAGATGCTCCCTCGAGGCTGAAGCCTGCTCTTGTACCTCAAGTCAAATCGCTTTCAGGTTTGGTGATTTACACACACTTAAACTTTTTGTCTTTATTAAAATTCCAATTTTTACAATTCTTCCTTCTTCGCAGCTATGGAGACAGAAGGCAGCGTCTTCCGATGCTTCAAGACCCGTTCGGGTTCGATCTTGCCAGATTTCAACAAATGGCGCCCTGCAATTCGTGAACGCTATTTGCTTCACGCTTATCATTCATCTCGGGTTAGTTCCGTTTTCTTCCCCCCTCTTTTTTTGTTTTTATTGTATTGCCATTCTGCGAACTGACTCGCCATCCCGGGTTCATGTATGATGCCAGGCTCATAGCGAACTTAACGACATGATCGAACATTACGAAGGGTTGGTCATTGGACGGGAGAAGGAGATTGATATGTGGAAGAAGAAATTCTCAGCTCTTGAGACTGAACTCAATTCCTCTGCTGGCTCCAAGCACGATCTGGAGGACAAAGTCGACAATTTAACATCCGAGCTCGCGCAGATAAAAGGGGAGCTGCAGGGTCAGTACGACCAGAACTTCAAACTCCAGGAAGAGTTTTCTGGTATTCAAGGTAGGCTTCAAGAGTCCGAATCAAACGCTGATTCCCTGAACAACCAACTCATCGAGCTCAACGCAAAGTACAAGGCGGTCGCCAAATTGCGTGACTCCGAGTTGGCGAGGTCGGCGTCAAAAGCCAGAAAAGAGGTCAAGGGACGCGGTATGGAGTTGATCCAAGGGGCCATCCGATTCATGCAGACCGAGAAGGCTAGGTCTGACTTGGAATCAGACATCAAGGAGCACGAGAGCAACCTGATCCTGCTGGATCAAATCCACGATGCAGATTTCTCCGAGGATCAAGAGAGAACCGAACTATCGGCTAATCTTTCTGAAAAGCGGAGTCGCTTGGCAGTTCTTCCTACTTCGACCTTCAACCCTCAGGACTTCGAGGAATTCTTCACCGAATCGCCTCCTATAAGCGAATCAGGTCTAGACTGGGCAGGTAATGCTTGGCTCCTGATATTTATTACCTTTCCTTTTCTTGCACCTTTGATTGACTGGAATTATTATTCCTAGGCTCAAGTGAGGCGGAGGACGTTGTCCCGCCCGTAGCTCCTATGGTACCGGAGGTCACTCCGGAGGTTGGTTGTACCGCGGAGGGTGGTCAAGGAGCTTCATCTGATCAAGCAGCTGCCAAGGACGCGAATGAAGCTTCGACTGTTGAGCCGGATTCCGAGGTGGCTGCTGCTCCGTAGTGGCTGTGTCCACTTTAAATTGGGGATTGTCCCTTTATTTTTAAGACTTAATTTCAAACTTATTTTTGCCTAAGGAGGCTTTATTATTTTTTTTGAACAAGATATTTGCCTGAGGAGGCTTTTAAACCTTTCTAGGTTGTGGCCCAAGGGGGTTTGGTTAAAATTATATGCGGGTTTGCAAAGTCCGCTTTTAACCTTTTGTGGCCTTGTGGCAATGCTTTCGAGATTTTTAGGCTGATCAGACCTTTCTCTTTAGAATGCGAGAACTGAGCTCGGCTTAAAGCGAGTTCCCCACTTCGGGTTTAGTCAACTCGGTAAACTTGTTGGGCTTGAGCCTTAGAAACTTTTGTAGTTAATGCGACGGTTGCCCTTTCCCTTCTCAAGGAAAACGGCTCGTCTTTTAATGCAATAATTGCCTTTTCTCGATTTTCCAAAAATGGTTTAAACCACTTGGGCACGCTACCATTAATGAATTTATGGTTCCAAGACAAACCCTAAATCATTATAAATAAAGGCTCACCTACCTCTTAAGCTCTATTTAAACATGACTCTAGAATCTTGCTTGAGAAATATTTTAAGAATGGAAAACGAAACACTAGCCCCCGTTGATCCCGGCAGCCCACTTTTCCTGTCCGGCGACGGATTTGAACCGGCCAGCGTTCTCTTTCCTCACGCCGTCTTTCACTTTCCTTCAAAGTAGAAGAAAGAGGCATGCGACTTCATCGACAAGGTAAATATTTAAAGTTTTTGACTTAAAAACTTTCTGCTTCATCTTATTCACTCATTTTTATGTTAGGTTGCCGACAAGCACCGTCGCTTGTGTGAAGAGAGGCAGCGGCTGGGACTCAAAAGGCAGACGC